ACTCACCAGTTTCCTGTCTGCAGAGGTGGAATATCAGTAATAACTATTCGAAGTGATCCTCATGGGCCTGACAATGGAATCTGACCAGTTCATTACAGCAGATGACTTTATTGAAGGATCACTGAACTATTATGAAAACAATACATTTCAAGCGGGATTCCACGAATAGCTACTTATTGCCACTGCGGCTGCTGATCTCAACAAAACTATCAAGGATGAGACGTTAGGAGGTAATTGGTGAAGCATCCAGGGTAGGTATCCTCCTCACGACCGACCACATACTTATGTAGAATGCAAACTTGAAGCCATCAATAATAAGCAGTTGCCTATACAGCAGTGATGTTCGACTTTTTTATCAAGGAACAGATAACCAAGGATAGCTTTCCTACACAACGCTGCTTTGAAGCTGACTCCGAGGGGAGGAGGGGGCTCTAGGGTTGATGCCTTGATGTTAAGAGTACCTACCACCGATGAAGGCAAACTTTGGAAGCTACCAAATGACTCTGAACAAACAATCCAAATAAAGGACTGTAGAAACACAGTTTGCTGACTGTATTTTCAGCTGTTCAGATTGTTCAGGAGGAGGATTCTACAGTACCCCAACCTCTGTTCACTACCCGAATCCCTGACCAGTAAGATTAAGGTGTAAAAACTACAGCCAGGGTTATAGTTAAGGCAGAATTAAGGTAATGATGGTTTATCCACATATTCACATATGATTAACATGCCAATTTTACAGTCATGATCATATCTGAGATATCTATACAATAAATTCAGATATAATAGTATTCACTTATTTTGAAATATGAAGCATATTATTGGTTAGAGTTATGATTTTGTTTAGGTTGGGGTAAAAATCACTACGATTGTGGACAGCATCCATTTGAAATGCCGAGCAACGGATCTGTCATCGTCAGTTTAAATTCATTATAATGCCAGTCATTCACCAGAATTGGTGCATCCTATAATTGGTACCCATGCAAATTCTGTTGAAGGATTATGGGCTTATCTAAAAAGTGGATTGGAATGGAATATGTCGATTGCCACTCTCGTGGAAAACTGAGACTTATTTTCACAACGTATACCCTGCATAATTCACGTGTATATGTTTAACTATCAGTCATGATCTAGCCCCTAACTCCAGCTCAAAACTTTGATCTAACCTTAACTTACCTCATCCTTGGCTAATGGTATGACTGCCTGCCCATGTTCATTTGTTGGTTGCCCTAGTTTATTTTCGCCAAGCCACTAATCGTAGACGTTAACCAATGTGGATGAAGTATCACTTAAAACGCTACCAATGACTCCGTCTGTATGGTAGCTATTTTAGTTACAGATTGTTCTATCAAGATAAGTTACCAAGCTACCTACTGAAAACTCGCATGAAGCAAGTATTTGGTTTGAACACTTATTGTGCAAGAACTCTGGTGCGTAAGTGAAGTAGAAAACTTAGTCACACACGGAGGGGCGTTCGTAATTCCCTGTTGATCACTAAGTGTTACTTATGCAGTAAGAGAAATGCATGGGTCATTCGAGGAAAGAGTCAAATCGTACTGCACATGTTACCTGAAGAAATCGCTGTCCAAGTCTGGGGCATAACGAATGAATCGAAGAAAATCTGGCTAGAAAGCTGCAAACCACATCCTAAAGGTCTTGACGACTCATGGTTCGAAGGTAAAACGCCAGTCCAGCATAGCCCAGACAAATTTCAAGCCATTTTAATCCGCGCGTCAGTTGTGAAAAATTCGCTAATGCTTATGAAGAAGCGACCCTCCCCATTATAGAGGTAGGACGCAACGTTTGGCCACTCTTCACAGAAAAGTGGATTCGACAGCTATCAAGGCCATCATGACGAAATTTCAGTCTCCCTATTCACGCATCAGTACGAAACAAATGAACAGTTTAATAGTCTGTAGCGCTGCTACATCATTTTCGAAAAAAGACACTAATCTCCTGAAGAAATTTCGGGACACAGAATCGATAACGACCCACGTCAGTGTTGATAACCCTATAGTTCCACTGTTTATGAGCATATACACAGTTTTCGAGAAAGCCCTCAAATAAGTGCGACAGTAGGCGAAGTCGCTGCTAGAAATAAACATACAGTGAGGACTGTGTAAGTATTGGGTTATACTTGAGATAGACATCAAATAACCACACTTACTAAATACTTCACCGCTTAATAACCTTATCAGTACTCTACCTAGCGTGTAAGTACTGACTAGCGAAGTCAAAGTAGAAAGACTTGAGGCTGGAAGTGAGTCCTAAAGAGAGTTGTATTTTACACAAATGAAATGAAATATCAATTTTAATAAATAAGGATGCTATACAACTCATCTGATGCCTCTGCTGGGAAGTAAGCTCGAAGAGTGCACCGAATGGTAGCACAACAAGGGAGCGAACCACGTGCGTACAATGACGTTGGAAATCACAAGATGGCGTGGCGCCAAAAGTGGGTGAATGAGTTGAAACAAAATTCAAAGGTTCAAGGTGCACTACAACTGAATGCACATAAACAGTTACTGATGTGGTATGAGTGATTTAGCGCAGGGCTTTTAGATAAATATCAGCTAAGCACTTCAAACTCTAGTGATGGCTTGATGGCCTACGTGGGCTGAAACAAAAGTTCCCACAAGTTGTACCATGCCTGAAATTTCTTCTGTACACGAGTTAGATTAAAAGCACATACCACCATTGTGTAATCCGCTTGCACTTTTTGTGGAGCTCCCTGTCAGAATGGCACTGCCAGTAATGGGTACGCGACAGTCATAAAGTGCCTATCTGGAAAGACCAGAAGTCAGTCTGCGCTACCTCTTCCTTACGGTAGGTGTGAGTTAGGAATGGTTGACCCCAGAAATTGCATATCCTGACATAACATGGAATGATTCGCTGCCAGTGGTTAAATATTTATACGGAATCAACTTTAAAAACAATATCCGACAGTCCATGCTTGGACGACCTCAAGCTGGTCTCCTGGGCTTTGTAATTAAGCAACACTGGTTCTATTTCTGTCTCATTTACCTAAGGAAGAAACCAATTTCTATAACAGAAACAGCCACGAGGCAATACCCACCCACTCGCTCCAGTAAGCGCACGAATCATTCTTAATCACAACCCACTTTCATTGCACCACTGTTAATACAATTTCAAGGTTAGCTTCCCCATATCCTCTTAACTCTGTGACCATTAATACCAATTCGAGCTGCCAGATTTTTAGAAGTAGGAAGTCAGTTTCGCGTTTGTCCATCCAGTCACGAAAACTTAGGCGGAAGAAATGTCCTTAGTGGACAGAGCCCTGACATGTGGCTGTAGAACACTTGTGGAACATTTTTACGAGGAATTCAGCCGGCCCCCAGCCAGGCTAAGTTTGACCAGCTGCTGGTGCCCACTTGCATCCATCTCCCAAGTCTAACTTGGGTTGCAAATACCATCTTCCAATCAAAAGCGGAACCTGATGATATGGCAGTAGAAGCATTTAAAGGCTACGCCAGTGAACCACCGAGTGGGTCGAGTGAGATATTGGATAATCTTTGCGAATTTTGGTTAGTTGTGTCGGACTTGAGCAGTTTACTGATTATTCCAATTTATACGAACAGAGACAGATCTCACTCTGAAGTCACATGGGGGTAACATGACTAAATTGGTACCCAAAATTCTTGGTTCGAATGACCTGCGTAGACTGGGCGGTGCTTGAGAGGAACGAAGATGCAAGAACTTGGTATGCTGTGGACCTAGATGACGACATGCTGATCGTGTGTTCTCTCTTGGAGGTTACTGTGACTCTGTGAACCAATTAATTGAGACTGTTCGGAGTATGGCTTAGAATCATTTTTCAGTGGGGCGGATACATTCACCTTTTGGAATCTTGCAGAAGCATTAATTCTCCATGTATCTATATGTAGGTGTTAATTGCCGGTGCATTTTCTTTTTACCACAGTTCCCCTACATTTCTTTTTCCTCTCCCTTCATTAGGAATTTTACGAAGTGTGGCGACTTGGACTGCACGATTTTTGTGTAAAGTATTAGATTGAGGATTCAGCACTGTTTAGAGAGATATCTGTGGTAACCACAAGTAGCAATGCCCACTAAACGGGGCACAAACATCTACGGAAACGTTCAATTTATACTTAATTCATACTTCCAGAGGCTTTGTTCCGTTCTCTTATTTTTTTTCCTTCATTGACGCTATATTCACGTTCTTCTTTTCTGTTTCGTCTCTCCTAAATGTTACAAGTCATTCTGAAACAGCATTAATGCCTAGTTCGCAATGCCACAGTCATCTAACTCAAGAGTTTTCATAAGAAAATTTAACTTAATTTGTGCTTAATAAAGCTTCCACAAGGATTTGGTTTGATATACTCAAAGCATAAAACTGCTTCTCACCACAAAAAAGCGAGAGGGAGGCAAAATAATGGGTTTGTATTAGGTAATTATGTACACATTGTCCAACTATACCAAAATTTGTCTCTTAGGTCACGAAAGGTTTCAGTTAAAAACTGCAAAATATGTTACAGTGATAATGGGATTATTTGAGCAGTTGTTTTCATTTTATCAAAAACATAAGAGTTCATGAAACTCTTGTTTTAAATACTCCTCCATGGTAACACGTTACTCTAAAATCCTTGAAATATTTCAAATGCCAAAGGCAGCATTTCTTTTTTGACTTTAGTATTCACTTATTCAATAATTTGATGCTATAAATGAACTCGGAAACAGTGAAAGTTATTGTTAGATGTAGGCCTCTAAACGAACGTGAAAACGCACTTCAGTGTAATAATATTCTGGAAATATTCAATGACACCGGACAGTGTTCTATAATAAACCCAAACGATAAAAAGCTTCCCCCAAAAACATTTTTCTTTGATGGGTCGTACGATCAAAATTCAACTACAGAACTGATTTATAATGATATATGTTATTCATTAGTGGAAGGAGTTACTGAGGGTTATAATGGTACAATATTTGCCTATGGTCAAACTGGGTGTGGGAAGTCTTACACTATGCAAGGTGTATCTGAGCCGTCTAGTCAAAGAGGTGTTATACCCCGGTAAGTGAATGATATGGATTCATATAAATACGCTTTCTAATAATGTGTGCATATACAATATGATTAGATTTTATTAGGTCAAGGGAAAAATTACAGATCATTTCACGTGATAACAATATCACTAATTTTTTCATTTAGGAAAACAGACCGCCAATGCAGATCATCGGTCACTGTCATTTGTTTGTTACTTTACAGCCGCCTTGTTCTCCTTTGGGACTTTACGGCAATACGCATCCATTATCCTGCCAGGGACCAAACTTGAAACCTTAAGTCGTGAAAGCAATATCCAGTCAGTAGTCAATTACAGTAATTATTGGCTGTGCAATTATGTGCTCTATCTGCATGCGATACAATTAAGAGAAAAAATTCATTCATTTTAGTTGTCCGTCATATCAAAAATCTGTTATATTAAGAGTAATTCTTGTGGCCGTCCCTTGAATACCTTCTGTTGTGTTTGAACCCTCTTTAAAGCAGGTCCTGGTTATTTGAAAGTAATTCTGGTCTCATGAGAGATGTATATTATAGAGTCGGTGGTTCAGGGGTAGAATGTTTGCCAGCCACGCGCGTGGTTCTGGTTCGGCTCCTAGCCAACACAGTCCTAAACCTAGTTTTTGTGTACTTGCCGATGGTAAGCTTGGAAAGGAGGTAAGGTTAGGCCTGAGTCCAGCAACTCCATCTGCTAAAAACAACACCATGACTGCCTAAACTTCAAATCTCAGAAAGCCCAAAGCCCTACTTATACTATTTTTAGGAGGCTTAATAACGAGCTCGGTAACGGTACAAATGTTTCAGAATCCACATATGTTCCCCTTGGAACACAAAGAAACGACATGACAGAGACGTATGTAGAGTGACAGAAATATTACTGGTGACCCTAGTAAAAGTCTTACATAACTGCCATTATAGTTTTTCATGCCTAAGTAATCTCTTATATGCAGAATGGACCATATAAATCAGAGTGTACTGTTGTCGAAAACCCTGTTCTATGCTGTCTTTCAGGGAGTTTTGTAGTTTGACCTTGTTTTGTCTTTTACCGACAAAGAATTCTTTGATTCAGGTAAGTAGGCTATGGGTATTCCCGGAATTCTGCAGTTTTTTAGGCAAAATGGTGTGTGGCAGCTTATCATGTGGTTTACTCAAAAACTATGCGGATTTGTTCTACAAACTTTCTTTAGAATTAGGCTGCAATGTTTTAGCTGTGAGGTCTCCAGGCAGGACAAACTTAATAAACATACTCGATTTGAGTAGGGTGACATTACTTTCCAAGTGAGCTATAACGACTTCCTTCCAAATGAAGAGATGAGAAGACTAATATGTCGGTAGTTCAAAGAATTTTCCGTGAGACACCTCCTCAAATTGTGGTAAAAACTGTACCTTTACAGCCAACCTGTAACAGTCCTTTACGTTCTGAAGGTTGCGCTCAGTAGTCTAGCCTTGTGGACCAACAACTCACTTGTTTCTCTGTAATTCAGTTGTTTAACCGTCTGAATACAACATTCTGATCGACACTGACAAAAAGTATATTGACTTCTAGCGGTGAACTTTAAGTTATTACCATAAATTCTGGCTATTCCCAAATAAAGACTTTTAAAAAGTACTTCGCTACTACTTCTCTTTGATCTTGGCTCCTATAGATTGACTGAGATGCCTTTATACTAATAGTCAGGTTGGATGCTCTGTGTTATATTTTCTTCCAAGGTTCACTTACAATATGAGACTTGAGCAGGTTGACTGCAGCTCGCAGCAATAGAGGCTGGCAGATTGCTACAAAGTTGAGTGTATCTCGAGTAATAATCTCATTGTATCTGCTTGAAATGGGTTAGTACCTATGAAAAAACAATTTTAATTCATTTATTAAAAATATTATGATCAATCCCAAAACTTATCCTTCAGCCTAACGACTAATGTCCTTGAAATAACTTTTGTTAATGATGATTATCAGATACATACATACAGCTTCAAGTTATTTTTAAATTGTCAATGTTAAGAGAAATGCTAACCCTAAGTATTAGTTCAACGAAAAAATAAGTGCAGAAACAGTGTTGAACTGCAAGTTTATTAGTAAGAATAAAATTTCTCCACTCTGAAGTCCGCATCACTAGTTGGTTAGCTTTCAGCTCTTAGATTCAAAACAGTAAGGTAAGTGATAAGTGGTGCCATTTGGACTAAATTAAAAAACCACAGAGAAAAATGTGCTCGAACGAACACGGGACCATTAGACTTTTAGTTAATGGATTCTGTTAAACATAATCTGCAGTGATACTTTCTATTTTAAATGCATGCAGGCAACTTATGAAAAATATGGATCTTCTTTCTGTTCTTCTTTGAGTCAGTTATTGGGATAATTCTGTGTAAAACGAAACACCCCATTGAGATCGAATTTCACACCTAACTTACAGTAAGAACAGAAGAATAATAAGCAATCTGCCTATCATACTGCCAAATGGAAGATGTTACACTTAAGATTCTAAGTTAAATTTATCCGATCAAGATTCAGTAAGTATAGGAGACCGTAAAACACTGGCTATACCACACACAAAATACAGTTCGTTGGAGACTGACTGAATGACTAACAGAACTAAGTACAGTGAAGCACTGTCAATTATTCCAATTTATCTGTATTGATCAGAATATTTTGAAAATTCATTTTAATAAGGAAAAACAAATATGCTTAGAAATTTGGTTTTGCGAAAGCCGGAAGTTCCCTTTATATCTACTAAAAAAAGTTCAGTAAGCTGGATTTGCCTACATTACCTAACCAATAACAATCATTATGTTTAGTTAATTTTTTTTGAATTTAACCCATAATCAGTCTATTAGTCTACTGTATTCAAAAGGTGCGAATTTTATGATAATTTGCGTACTCATATTGTTTCTGTACACTGTTTAACCTTGCCTGTGTTTGATATGAAATATGGAGACTTTAAAAATGTTCGAAATAGACTGCCTTTGCTACTAATTAACTAAATTACTTGATTAGTTACCAAAGTGTACCATTATTCACTTAATTTTCGTGAAACATCCACAGTCCTGTTTTCCTTAACCACTTAACCCATGCAGTCATGTTGTGAAGTCATAAGACTTTTCACCCCATGGGACTTTATATATTTGTTGAATTCCTCTGAGTATATGTTTTAGAAGTGTGACAACATTAACCATTGCGCTTTCGTGCGTGGATCCATGTTGACCAGTATGCGGGTGTTTTCTTAACTACAGCTGCTCCGAGTTTCATTAACTTCAGCCTAAATAATTTAATTTGAAAACATTGGCGAGCTGGTTACCTGTTATTTCAGCACAATGGACTGAAAGTGATCAACTTGTCATGGAAGGAACTTTATGATCCCATTAATCCAGACATATGTATATAAATATGTTTCCTCACAAAGAGATAATCTATTTTAAGATATGCTGTTACTAGACTTCTTCCTACTTTTTGTAAATACAAGTTTAGTATCCCTTTACTTAAACCCTTACTGTTAATATTGTAATTTATTCATCGACGGTTTCCATTTTCTTCTTAAAACACCAAGAGCATTCGATCAAATCTTCGAAAGCATATCTGTTAGTGAAAAAACCAAATATTTAGTGCATGCATCCTTTTTGGAAATCTACAATGAAGAAGTTCGTGACTTATTGGGTCGTGACAATAAAACGAAATTAGAATTGAAAGAGAATCCTGACAAAGGCGTTTATGTGGCTGGTTTATCAATGCATAAAATTACTTGTGTAAAAGACTGTCAGGTAATCACTACTCTGTCATTTTTTTTGTGATTTTAATAGATAAATTATGTTTAATGAGCTTCTAAACCAATTAAATTCACTGTCGTAAATCCCAAGATGCATTTAAGTTTTCGAATGACTATTTCTTGATAATTAATTCTTAATATACTCTAGGATACAGAGAAGATATGGACTGTGTATCGCTTTCCAGTTAACCACTAAACTTCAAAGAAACTTAGGATATTTTGTTACGGATTTCAGCAATATGATCCGAACCAACTTCCGAGTATATGAATAAAATAAAAGGTGTTTAACTGGTACCAAATAGCTATGGAAAAGTAAGGAATTTTCAAAATGGATAAAAAGTTTATAAAACTGATATATTTTGAAAGATTAGTGGCAGTTGCGCACATTTCTAAGATCTAATTAAAAGTTTCTACTCACCTCACGCAGCCAGAGATTCTGGTAAAATATAACTCGATAAATTCTACCACGATATTAAGGACGATAGTAGATGATCTATATTTGCATAAAATTCTATACTACTGATCATTGTGATGAGTAGCTGAATAACATTCATTTCAACCAGTAGTGTTTGCCAACCAGCCAGATCAAGGTGATCTAAACACCACGGGACGGCTGTTTGGCGCTCGTTTGGCGCCGAGTTTATCAGCAGTGTGCCTGGTTTGACTCACCTCAGAGAAGTGAGTCAGTTCGAATCACCTGATTTCTGGCGAAGTGGCGTTATCATAAATCAAATTCACAATTTGCAAATTAGTTAGCAATCTGCAATGTACACAGCCCGAGTGGTGAAATTTCATCATAGTTTCCTTTGGAAACCAAGTTATTCCGATCACAATATTTGATCTGGTTGATACCACATACAAATTTTATAAAACAGGTTATCACCCGTAGTCACTCTGTAGCCGTTTTTCAATTAAAATGACTTTTTTTATTCCTTTACATTCCCAGTGGAACATTGGGTTTCAAGCTAGAGACTTGAAGTTTTGGTAGCATTGGTGTTTATTTTTACGGGGAGGGGTCACCAACCTCACTTCCAACCTTCCCTCTTCACCATGTAGTGAACCTAGTAGCTAGGTAAGTATATAAACGCAATTAAAGGGACAGAACAGGTACTAACAAATACGTATATATAAAACATTCAGTTCACTTAAGTTAATATACACAAAAAGGACTGAGATTATTTGAAGAAAAACTATAACAGTCACAAAATACACAAATTATAGACGTACGAAATTATATGAATGTAATTGTCCTTCTCTTGATTATACAAATTCTCCACCACAACTTAGAGCTGTCAACCGTCGGAAGTCTCCACGCAGAGTAAAGCAGATAAGAGCAAAGTTCTTGACGGGGATGTGTCAACCAGTGCGAGACAGCGTTGGTCAGCAGATGGGCTGGGCGAGCAGCCGGAGAGAGGGCGAACGATTCGTTCCTTGCTCGCGGTTCAAGGTTTAAGGTTGAATTCCTTCTTTTTTCGTGAACATAATTTGATATGTTTTTAGGCCGCCACAACCAGTCTTATTACCGGCTTAGTTAGGTTTAGGAGTGTGTTGGCCGGGGATCAAACTCCGAACCACATGCTTGGTTGGCGAGCATCCTACCACTGTGCCACCAACACACACTTAAATAACATAATAGAAAAATAATAACAAAAGTCTGGTTTCCACTTCAAGAGAAACAAATAAATGAGATGCAAGCAGTGGAAAGCATCAGCGTCATAATTTGTAAGACAGTAATAGCCACTAAAAACAGTCCGATCTCCTTATTTCAGTGAAGGTGGTAATTCATTAATTACCGACCTTCAATGATGAAAATGCAAACTCAGCATCCCACATAATTGTATGCTGAGCTCTGTTTTTACTTCCGAGGATATGTGTACATAACTAACCTCTGACAAATGTTTGACAAGCAAATACTTATTTTCATAAACTTGTTCGCTTTTATTAATTTGAATAAAATAAGAAGAGTATTTTGTGCAGAATAAGATGGTGCCATCATTTATTTTGTTGACTTCTCATTAGCTGTGTACATCTTGCAAATGTTACACAATGTCACTTGATAGGGGACTCCAAACTTAACAAGTAGTAGTCAAGAATTACACTTATGTAGTCAATATATACTGAAAGTTCGAGTTTAAACAAAAATAAATGCTTGGATATACTGGTAAAAAAGTTATGTAATAAAGACAAGAGGTGAATAAGATGAGGAATAACTGATCAAATGAATAACAATGTGGTGAGTTAAACTCAAATTACGGGAACAAGATGAAAGCAAAGTTGCACTGTATGGAAGAATGGAGAGATCAAAGTCACAGATTACGTAGTCGAATGAAACAAAGCCAAACAATGAGAAAAACAAGACAAAACTGATTGAAGAGCAACTGATGGATGTTCTCAGAAGAATGAAGAACGACTATCTCATAACTGAAGACCTATTTGAACGCCTGAGACCAACAGGATCAATTATCCCCGGGCTCTACAGTCTGCTAAAGGTGTACAAAGCAGGTCTGCCACTTTGACCAATTTTACATATGTCGGGATCACCATACCATCCGATTGCCAAATGGCTTTCCGAAATTCTATAGCTTTTGAGACAACAACTATGTAATTACTCTCTCCAAGATACTTTTGAATTTATTGAATGCGTAAAAGATTTGAATGTAAATAGTAAACGTATGTTATCAATAGACGTCGAATCTCTATTTACGAATGTGCCACTCACAGAAACAATTTACTTCCGTTGCAAATACATGGATGACAGGAATCTGAGTATCGGAATACCGACCTCAAATCTGAGACAGTTGTTATTGAGGTGCACATTTAATGTACAATTCACATTCAGCGACGATATCTACAGACAGTAAGATGCGACTGCCATAGGCTCTCCCCTTGGCCCACTTTTGATAGACTGCTCTAAGGCCAGCTTGGAAAGTGGGATATTTAGGCCGACAACAAAAAGATTGCTGCAGAAAAGGTGTGTCAATGAGACTTTTATAGCCTGTCATAATGATTCCAATTTAAATTGTGTCATACAGGAGTTTAACAACTGCCATCCTTCAATTAAATTCACAATAGAAGTTGAAAATGAATCATGGATTCCATTTATGGACGTTGAATTGACAAGAGGAGATTGTGGAACTCTGAAAAGATCTACCCACAGAAAATCATCATGGAATGGTCAACTGACAAACTTCTATAGTTGGACACCTATCAGTCGAAAAAGAGCTCTCATCATCTACATGCCCCTCCATATTAGGAGTATTTGTAGCAGTGATTGCTTAGATGAAGAGCTTCCGTTTCCCAAAAACATCTTGGCTCAAAATGGATAGCCGGCAAGTTTTGTCGACAAGAACATGAAGCCAAAGCCAAAAAGGGAAGAATGCACTTCAGCACCAAAGAAAACACTTTATTTGAATCTGGACTTCAGGGGAGACCTAGCAGTAGATATCCTTAGGAGGAGAATCTCCAGTTCCCTGGAGAAAACTTTTCCTGCAGCAACTCGAAGAGTGATATTCTCCATTCGTCAACTGCTTCGAATGAACATGAAGGACAGACTTCAGCTTATGACCGTACCATTGTGCATATATTAGTTCACCTGCTTGTGTGAAGCTAGGTAAATAGATTATTCTATGCGAGTCATATCAAAATGTGCTAGAGAACATTACCCAGCATAGCTGCAAAGAGGCACTGGTTCAATCAAGAGTGCTATAATTGAACACTTCGTCAATACCAGTCACAGCATCTCAACTGACTCATCATTCACAGTCATTTACAAAGTAATAGAAATTCTACCAAAGGCAGTGTGTTTCCGACTTCTTTGTACTGCAGAAGCCCTCGCCATATGCTTCGGAAAACCGGAGCCGTGTGTTCAAAAGAAACTGCTTCAAACCCTACATTTACCATGGATCTAGTTCAGTTTGTATCCTTTCATCCTGTTTTTTATCCCCTTCATTCCTCCGTTTTTCAGTTTTTAATTATTACTTTTTTCAACTTCTTCCCATACTCATTCCATTCACACCTTTAGTCGTTAAAAAACCTGCTTTCTAATCCTGTGTAATCTTGTCTCTAACCCCCTTGTAATCTATATTCACGCCTCCAAACTTTCTTGTCAAGTTGAAAATTATTATTACCCTTAGTCACCTTCGCTACTATGTGGAATTAAATAAATAATAATTGTATCTACGTATTTTATGTAAAAATAACATCATATTATGTCATATCAGTTTTAAGTATTTTTCGTTTACAATGTTTACCAACGAAACACCAGTCATCATGACGGAATCGGGGAAGTGATCTCAGGCAGTTATAACATATTCATCAATTTTGACGTCACGAAAGTTATGCAGCATTAACGTAAATGATATCTAAAACAATTAGATAATTGTTTATATTTCCAAGATTTATTGCTTAGTCGACGGCCTGATGGATCAGTAAAACGATCTATTTATAGAAAACCTACCTAGACAGGACAGTATCTTATTTATCATAGTTTCTGGCCTGTTCAGTACAAAAGAGCCTTAGTGATGTGCTTCTTTAGTAGACTCCAACGAATATGCACACTTGATGCGGAAGAAAGAAAGTTGACACAAACTCTGGTTGATAGCAATTATCTAGACAAGTTCATCAGGAGATATAAAGTAGTCAGAACACCAAGACCCACTCTACAACTCGCCCGTAAGAAAGACGTGTACATCAACCTACCCTATATGGGGCATCACAGCAGCTTGATAACTAGACAGAGATTGAACGTTGTGGTTAAAAAGACTTTTTATGCAGCTAATATCATAATAATTGAGAATGTGAAGCCCCCATATCCATCTAAGCCCTTAGAATATGCGAAAAATGATGTCACATCCCACTGTATTTACCAATTTGAATGTACGTGTGGACACATATACATAGGGAGGACTCATCGATCTCTGCAAGTAAGGACTGGCTTCAGAGAATATTCCTAAATGGCTCCAGAAGCAAACAGAATCCCCAGAAGCCATTAATGGTGAGAACAGGCGACCTAGTTCCTCTTTTACGAAAAATATTACAGAAGAGATAGGGCATAAAATTGATGTTTACACATCTTTAAAACCTATCAATAAAACGTGTTTTGGGCGTATCCTAAAGTTTGTGGAAGCCCTAGCTGACAATAAGAAAGTTTAAACCACCTTTATGCGTTGAAAAACAATTCATCATCACACTAAACCTTCCTTGGTAAACTTTGTTTTGATACCAGTCAGGGCAGATGTACTATTACCTCCTTTCTTTGGTTTAGTGATTGATCTTCATTGTTATTTTGAACTTCAATATGTCCTTTTATCTTGACCCAAGTAGTCTATTTTCTCACCTGTTAACTCCTTACTAATTTCATATATATATTCCTATGATAAGTTCGTGTGTGCTGGATCAGATTGTTCGAAATGTGTTGTGCGCGCAAATACACAAGACACGATTCAAACAAATCACGTCTTCTTATTGCTTTGTGTAAATAATATCAGTAACTGCCTTCTAATAAACAATGTCTTTTTAGAATATTATGGAAATTGGATGGAAAAATCGTTCAACTGGAGCGACATTAATGAATGCTGATAGTAGTCGATCACATTCAATATTCACTATCTACCTCGAAATGATTGATCAGAGTGACAGTTCAACTGATGATAATCGTATCAGAGCTGGAAAATTGAATTTAGTTGACTTAGCAGGTTCAGAAAGACAATCAAAAACTGGTGCGTCGGGTGATCGTTTTAAAGAAGCAACAAAAATTAATCTTAGTTTATCAGCATTGGGTAATGTTATTTCAGCTTTAGTTGACTCGAAAGTTAAACATATACCATATCGTGATAGTAAATTGACAAGATTACTTCAGGTTAGTCAAGTATTCAGTTAACCAGAATTATATATATATTTTTTGATTGCTTGATGTGTTATATACGTCCAAAGCAAGTTCACTTTTAACAGTTTGAAAAAATTTCGGCGTCAGTATGGGGTCATTTTTCCTTGTCAAGTTGGCCAATTGGTAAAGATAACATAACCAAGTGTAGATTGCTGGATTTGATCAGTGTGCAAAATTATAAAAGCAGCGTGTGTTTAAACAGTGAACTCGCTTATCACATTCGTGTTGATTTTATCACTTCATGGGGGAGGGAGGTGTTGTAACCAGGTCAGATTCTGCTTTAGTCCATCATTCCTATTCAGACAATTTGGATTCCACTTGATATGAAGTGTTTCTGATATTAGACGTTCTTTGTGATTTCTGAAGTTTTTCTGGATTATTTCAATGTTGTCAAAGTCAATTTTGTGGGCTGATTCTTTAGCGTGTAGACCTACGGCTGATGATTTTTCAAGTTTTTCCAGTTCAACTGGATTTCTCCTTGTTCGAACAGATGCTCTAAGGTGTTCATTTCTTCTGATCTTGATTTCTCGAGATGTTCTTCCGATGTATATCGCATCATATTCCAAGCATTTTATTTTATAGACACAATTAGATAGAGAATCTTTAGGGATTTGGTCTTTTATATGGACGAGGTTGTTTCGTAGTGTGTCTGATGTTTTGATGAAAACTCTTATGTCGAGCTGATTGAGTACTCTTCTGATATCATCTGACGTCTCTGCTCGATATGAAATGACGACTGTTGAGGTCCATGTTTTCGGAATGCGGTTTTGGCCATACTTAATGCCTGTGTTGATTTTGCTGATGAATTTCCATGGGTAGTTGTTTTGCTTAAGAGTTTCAGTAATGTTTAATATTTCTTCTTCTTTTTCTTTCTCATTCGTGATCAGAGGGTGTGCTCGTCTAAGAAGACTTGAAACAACTGAAATCTTTGCGCTGATCGGGTGTGATGATCTGAAGTCTAAATATTTATTGGAGTGGGTTTTCTTCCTGAATATGGATATACTAAAATGTCCGTTTTCCCTCCTCTTAACTAGGCATTCTAGAAATGGTAGTTCACCGACGTCTGATTCTGCTTCCGAAATAAACTGCATTCTGGGAGATACACAGTTTATTTTCTCCAGGAATGAATTGTGTAGATCTCGTTTTAGCACTACAAAAGTATTATCTACGTATCTTAACCATATTTTGGGAGTGATTATGCTTGAAAAGATGTTATTTTCGAATCTATTCATCAGGAGGTCAGCGACTATTGGGGAGACTGGTGAACCCATAGCAACACCATTTGTCTGTCTATATAAACTCCCTTTAAATGTAAAATAATTGCTTTCTAGACAGAATTTCAAGCTCTTAATTATTTCACTGGTGTCCAGTGGCCATCTTTGCGATAGCGTTGTATCTGATTCTAGTAGACTGGAAATGATATCAAGACTTTCGGTAATAGCGATACTAGTGTATAATGAGTTAATATTATAGCTTAACATGATGTCTTCTTTATCAATTTCTCGGTGTTCTATTTAGGATTTGAAATCATATGAATTTCGTACAATATTTTGAGTGTCCTTCTGTAGTGGTTGTAGTACCGAGAGTAAGTATTTGTGTTGTTTATGACACGCGCCTGAGTGGATATATTATATTCATGAGTTACACAGTTTAAACAATTAAAGTAACCTTCTTACTAAGCAGAATGTATTTGTGAATTTTAAGTGATACCTGAAATTTATTCGGACTAAACTTTGGTTACTTCCCTTCATCATAAAAATTAGAAAAAGAAGAAATATTTCGATCACAGGATATTTTTGCAGTGTGGTTACTCTTACCATCCGGAATCGTTTCGCAGAACCACTGGAAATCACAGACCAGTGGACAGTTGTTTCTGTCAATTCATGACATATTGTGACCACTTCGCAATGTTTTCTTCAATGAGTTACTGCCTCACCTTCAACCTACTGGGCCCTACTGGTCACGGCTTCCCAGCAGAACCTCAGGTTTACTGCCTGAATAGGGCCAGTCGCTAGTGAGCTTCAGATCAATTTTCAAGGGTTGGTTTTGTAGGAATTTTTCGATGATGATGATGATTAAATCCTCCTACAAATCAAACGAAAATTTCAACAAGAAATCCCTACAAAACCAATACTTAACAATGCTAGTTAATCAGTACTGTTGAATCTCTTCGTCTGTTTGAATGTTGATTTTCTCATACAGGCTTTTCCCACAGTAGAGTTTTTGAAGCTTAGCAATCAGAAGTAAAACGCATGTGTGTTAGACTTTAAAGGCTTGTATGGGCACCTGTATGGGCACTAGAAAAATGGAGACCGTATCTGATCGGCCGCCGATTCCACATTGAGACCGACCACAAACCTCTTCAGTGGTTGAAAACAGCACAGGATCCACGAGGAAAGTTATCACGATGGATGTTATGCCTACAAGAGTATGACTTCACGATTGGACATATTCCAGGAAAAGAATATGTAATAGTTGACTATTTGTCGAGATCAGATAATGAGACTGAACTACCAGAAGTAGCGTATGCAGTAAACGCGTTGGAGCAAGATCCCTTACAACTTGTTCGCCACCAGAAGTCGGATCCTACTCTTAAGAAAGTCATTCAGATGATAAGTGAAGGGAAACAAATTGAAATGGCAGCAGAGAATAGAGAGTTAAAGATGCTACTGCAGCAAAAGCATAGACTCAAACTAAACGCTACCGTCGTCCTAACTTGGAAAGACAGTGATGGTAGCTGGGTCACAGTGATACCAAAAGCCTTCGTCGTGGGGTCCTTCAAGAATGCTATCAACTAGCCCATACAGGAGTTGCACGAACATACGACCTGGTGAGCCAAAGTGCGTACTGGCCAAACATGAGAGGCGATATTGCGAACTATGTGATCGCTTGCCCGCAGTGCCAGTTGATGAAGGGTGATCGGTGCATTCGACCACAGCTACAAACGATACCCGTAACAGCGGTTGGTGACTTATGGTCCGTGGACATAATGGGTCCTTTCCCTCAAATAGCCAGTGGAAATCAATACATTTTAATGATGACGGAACATGCCACGCGGTGGATAAATGCTGTAGCGATTCCAGATCAGCGCACCAAGACCGTAACCGAGGCGGTCATTTGACATATTGTGGCGGATCATGGTGTACCAAAAATGATATTGATAGATCAAGGCCCCTGTTCTGAAAGTGAGGAGTTCAAGACTCGTCTGGAGGCACTGGGTATTAAGAGAATTAGAGCGACTCCGTATCATTCGCAGACAAACGGGCTAACGTACACTCAAGGAGTGGCTAGCTGCGAAAAGAGGCAACTGGGAAACTGACTTACCGTTGGTATTACTAGCACATCGTGCCACAGTACAAGGGACAACAAAAAAGTCGCCTTTCCAGCTGATGTATGGGAGGAAACCACGCTTACCGGTGCACCATAAGACTTGGCCAACACAACAAAAATGGAACAGTAAGAGATGGACAAGTGAGCGGAAACAAGCTATTCAGAATATGCAAGAGAAGAGAAAGATAGACATCGAAAATTATGGCAAGAAACAAATCAAAGCTTGGAAGCTGTTTGAAGTAGGCGACCAGGTGAAATGTAGAGAACGAAAGTATACTACCGGAAGTGGACCAGGATCAGGAAAGCTTCTGCCGAAGTGGGAGGGACCATATGTGGTCACATCGAGATGCGGTCTAGAGTGCACAATAAAGAGAGGAGATAAAGAGAAAAGAGTAAACGCTAGTCTGCTACAAAGATGGAGACAAGAATGTCAAGACGAGGAACCTGAAGAACAGCAGGATGGAACGTCTGTGTGGTGATCAAGGCGGTTACAGGAGAGACTTTATAATGAGGGGGCGAGTATGGTGAGTGCTACTTATGATCCCATATAAGTAGTATATCAGAAGGCGAATTCAGAAAAGTAACAATATGTTTTGCACACTGGAAAGAGCAATCAAAGAAGAGAACTATGGGAGGAATGTTGCTATATGATGCAGAATCCAAGAAGTTATCGAATGTGATGATATTCGTCCAATCCGTCAAGGATGTGGTAAATGATGTGCAAATGGCGGGTTGAAAATATGGTATACCAAATTTACCTATGTACAATACGTTTCACCAAATAAACACTCCTTCTAACATCCTCAGTCTTTTCTTCTTTACAATAACAGTCGACATAATTGGGGAAGGATATACAAATTGAATAAATAAAACCAAAAATAAGTAGGGCCAAAGTATGAATGGGTATTATCGTACTTTAGCATTGATGGATTAAGACCATGAGAGCTGGAAGGGTTGAACAAACTTTTCTGTATATAAAGAACTGGCTTTTCCCGCTTCAATGACCAACGCTTTAGCAATACATATGAGTCAGATACGTGATGATTTGGACTGTAGAAATAAGGTGGCAAGTATCAACCAGATGTTTAGTTATTACGCTTCTTACAGTCCCGCTTCCACCTTTTCGTAACCATGCAGGATAATGTTATTGCACCCTTCTGGACAAAAGTCCAGTAGACTGACTGATATACTTAACTCCACAAGAGCAGGTGAATTGATAAATACACACAGAGTTGGTTAGCTGTGCCATCTTGTCCGCCAAGTTACTGGACAATAGTAGTCGACACTATTTTCAACGATGCTGCAGCGAATGTCCTTTTCAGGGATTGTGAGATCCTTCTCTTAAGGATGTTGGCAGCTACGTCACCTTAGAATTCAAGCTTCGTGTATACAGCATTTTATTGGTTATAGACATTAAATCACATTTCATAGACTTTAACTGTATACTCAAGATCAGATGGCTAGAAAAGATCAGCAACAGGGATCTCTGGGAGCGAACCAACCAGGAACCGATTGTGAAACAAATATGCAGGAAGAAATGGAGATGGATTGGCCATACTCTGAGGAAACCATCAAGTGACATCACTAGACAAGCCATCTCGAGTGGAACCCGAAAGGGAAGCGGCGAGTTGGTCGTCAGTGCAAGGGTGACTTGGAGGAGGTCATGTGAAGAGGAGATGAAAGCGTGTGGGCAGACTTGGAGCCAGGTGAAAACTTTAGCAGAGAACCGAACGCAATGGAGACGTGCAGCTGAAGCCCTATGTTCCTCTAGGAATTAAAGGAAATAACAATAATTAACTGTATGTTCATGTCTATAAAACGTGGTGGAAATCCATTTTTCATTAGGTAGTTGGCTTAAGGGTCAGACAAGTTAAGAAACAATGATTTTGTAACAACCTGTTTGACACCATACACAACAAAACAAAAAACACTAGTCAACCTGGAAGTAATTAAATATCAATAGCACTTCGTGTTTTATCGTATATTTACAAAATTTTACCAGGATATCTTCATCAGGCAATCGAACTTTCGTTTCCCCTAATTTGCAACTGCTCAAATAGGATTCCTTGGGAGGCAATACAAAAACTCTTATGATAGCTTGTTTATCACCGGCAGACAATAATTACGATGAAACACTGAGTACGCTACGTTATGCTAATCGAGCAAAGAATATACAAAATAAGCCTAAAATTAATGAAGATCCAAAAGATGCCTTGTTACGTCAATATCAGGATGAGATTAAACGTCTTAAAGAATTACTCAGCAGCAATCAACAGTCGGTACCATCAACGACGCTTGAAGTGTTCAACGGGAAGGAAAATATTGATGTGCTAGATATGCAAGCTGAGAAAGAAAAATTAAAACAAGTAAGCTTATTTATTGTTTTCTTTTGTGTGTGTGTGTGTGTTAGATTTCTGAGTATTGATCATACACAACAATGTCAGTGTATATAAATAATAGAGAACTAGATTAATGACGTTAAGAACAACCACATTGTCAGTTGTGTCAAACTAATAATTCTGATTTGTTAATCGATATTCGATTTAATTTTTCTTATTTTAAAAAACACCCTTATCTTTATGTAAGCTAACTTTCAAACACTGAATAGTTTTTATTCTTCAGAATACACCTCAGAGCATCAAACTATATTAGGTATAAGGTCAAGTGGTACAGCTGTCCCTAATTCGTACGTTGTTGCATTGAATTAAACTGATTTAGATAGAGGTAAGATGGATAGCACCTGTGAACAAATGAGAGTTTCTGGAAATGATAATTTGAATAATGGTCTACAATGGTCTACAAGCTCGCCTTGTAACCAGAAGGTCCTAAGTTCGAACCCCGGTGGGTGTGTACTGATGAAGAGTCTCAAACTAGGACGAAACAGCTATCCAGTACTCCCAGGTTTGTGCGTCGGTGGCATAGCGGTTAGGACGCTCGCTCCCCGGCCGACGCACTCCTTTACCTCGCTAAGCCAGAAATAACGCTGGTAAAGAGGAAAGGTTGGGCATGAGGCCAGCAACCCCATCCTGTAAAAATTCAAAATGCTACAGAAACTTTAAGCCTGTAGCCTGAAGCCCTATGTTCCACTGGGAACGTGAAGGAATAAAAAATAATTACAATAATAACAATAATAATTTTTGCTTTATTCCAAAAACAGTACCAATGATACAGCAAGGAATTTTCAGCATTCAGTACAATATTGCATCTAATTTACTCAAAACGACAACAAAAAATAATAAACATTACATAATAATAATAACAAAACGTTGTTATAGCAAATTACAGTATGCGATAAGGAGAAAAATATGCATAAAGTATAAAATTGTAGTAATAATAGTAATAACAACTAAAATAAAATAGCTAAGTTATAATTAAACGATAGAAAGGGTGACACCATAAAATTACAGAAAGATGACTGATGAAAGGGTCGATTCACTTTGCTAATTACATAGTAACTTATATGTTTCACGTCTAACAGTGTCTCCATCACATAAAATACGGGCTAAATAGGGTATTGTAGAATTTTTGTACTTAGTGGTGCGAGCATATAACTTCTTATATTGACTTCTCGTCCTACCTGATGAGATACAAGGGGATAGTTGTGAATAAAGGGGTGCAGGAGGTCTGACAGTACGGCCTCTGCCCATTTTGTACAGGATGTTATATGTCTCTCGACTATAATATTGGCGAGCTCACGCAGTGGCATACCACAAGCCCTACTCACAGCATTTAATACCCTTCGTAATATGATATAGTCTTTTTTGAGAAGCCCAGGAAAGATTAATGGAGAGCAATAGAGTACAATAGATAAAATACAGGAGTTTACAAACTGCAGAAGTAAAGGTTGGTTGATACCTGATTGTCTCAACTTTTTAATGTAGAAGGTAAGACGAAACATTTTCTTAGAGATTGATAAGATGTGGGATGACCATGAAAGGTCAGAGGAAAGAACTAATCCAAGGTATTTAATGCTTGACTTGATTTCAATTTCAGTGCCATCTATGCTACAGGCATCATGGGAACTAACTAGTTCATGTATGTCACGTTGATGCTTGAAATTAAAGTTAACTGCCTGACATTTGGAAGGATTTAATATAAGACCATTTGACTTAGACCACTTGATGATGTCCAACAGAAGGCTATTAAGTTTGGAGCAGTCAGACTCGGAAGTGATAGGCAGTGATACAGTCAGATCATTCGCATATTTGACAAAGTTAGTTTCGTTTAAATGAGGCAGGTCATGTAGGAAGAAAGAAAAAAGAAAAGGAGAGAGGACGGCACCTTGAGGAACACCGGCTTTTGTAAGCGAGGCAGAAGAAGATTTACCATTATATCCAGTATACTGCATTCTATCAGAAAAATAAGAATTCAACCAACTCTTAGCCCAGGATTTTGTTTGCGTCGACGAAAGCTTATTTAATAAAAGGCCCCTAGGTACAGAGTCAAAAGTAGAGAAACCAATCATTAGAATGTCGTATGTTCCCTCCAAGATCAAAACTGGCATCTTCGACTACCAAAGTAGTGAAGAAACATCTAAGCTGTTTATATCACAGATAGACCTCTGTATGGCTGATCAATATAATATCAGTTGTTGACCGGACGATAATCAATGCAGTTGTCTTAATGACAAAGTGTGTGTGTGTGTGTGCAAAAGTTTCAAATGGTAGGTTTCTAACTATTCGTGTAAATTACTCATTACTGATAGATGTTCTTATTATTGCTTATTGTTGTTTTACTATTTCATAAAACAGGATTATGAACGGAAATTACAAGCTATGCAGGAACAGTATGCTGCAGAAGCAGAAGATAAAGCTAAAATACTTGAAGATATGAAACGTTTAAGAGAATTCTATGATATGAAAATTTCACAAATAAATAGTCATCAAGATGTAATACCAACAACAAACCAATGTAAGCATAAACTGGGTCTGTTAATATTTGAAAGAATCAAGGATACATTTTTACTAGGTTTTTATTTCAAAGAATTGATAATTTTGTAGATATTTTTATTATTAATTGACATTAAATCATAGGAAATATTAAAAAAAGGATAGTTGCAGCGAGTAAAAACTTTCCTTTCGATGAAGTCATCGACTGAGCTGTACATTTGTGTATGCATAGTAAATGGATGAGAATGTTCGAGAAATATCTCCCATCAAGGATCAAATTAATAAGATTGCAAAAATAGAGATTGAAATGTAATTGGTGGCCTGCTTGAATCTCTGGGTTACCTGAATTTCCATCTGAGACAATGCACCTTATTTTCGTTAGTTATTGTTGTTATAATCATTTAGTTATATCCGTGGGTCTCCAAATGTACTCGTGCACATTTTTAATTGGCTTGCAGCCTATCGTTGAGCATCTCTGTGGGAGCAAAGAAGAATACCGTAGTGGGTGATTTTATTCTTCAAATCACACATCACTGCGTCACATGATGTACTGGAGATGGCTGTTTCACTTGAAACTCCTGGATGAATAGTATATATTATGCAATAAACTACGCTGAAAATTGTGCATATTGTGTGAACTTATTGTGCTATTGTTATGAATATTAACAGTAACAAAATATAATTGAATTTTAGATTTTCCCGTCGGTCTCAGGTTGACATGTCAGCTTCTTGAGCAGATGCTTCGACGATGTCTGGGCATTTAATTAGTATTTAATTGGTGGATGGTGACTAGCAGTGGAATCCAGGATGCGCAGTTCGTCCTATTTGGGACTCGTCGGCTGGATGTACCTGCATTTCTCAGTGAGTGATGATGTTCCCACCGAGGATAGAACCCAGTGCCCATAGTCTCAAACACCAAAGCGTTATCCACTAGACCACTTGGGCCACGAGAGCCACCTCTTTTGCCCAGACATCGTCGAAGCATCTGCTCAAGAAGCCGACATGTCAACCTGAGACCGAACACTTCGGTTCAATCAATCGACGGGAAAATCTAAAATTCAATTAAATAATTATTCTGACCCATTGCACGAGAGGTGGCTCGCGTGGCCCAAGTGGTCTAGTGGATAACGCTTTGGCGTTTGAAACTATGGGCACTGGGTTTGAACCTCGGTGGGAACATCATCACTCACTGGAGAATGCAGGTACATCCAGTGACGAGTCCCAAATAGGACGAAATGCGCATCCTGGATTCCACTGCTAGTCACCATCCACCAATTAAGTAACAAAATAGACAGGAAGTTCGGACAGAAACATAGAAGGATGATTATTATTGAGAAAATTGACTTTTCTGTGCAATTAGAGATTGAAAACATCGTAATAACGAAATACACAGGAGTACGGAGAAAAAACGTCCTCAGGAACACTATCGAGTCAGGCTAGCAAAGCGAGAATGCAGGTGTGTATATGGCTCGGTAACAGAGCAGATGGTGAACTCAGGACATTCAGCTCCATTTGGAAAGTTCTTCAGAGTCACATACGAAACCCAATCAAACCTCTCACAGGAAGTGAGATCAAGGCATTTGGACATAGCTGAGGCACTAATGATCCAAAAGTTCAAGTGCACTCTATGCGTATCCAAAAGAAATACGCCCAAACCCTTTTTTCTACTATGGTCATCATAAACAGTCATTTCCCTCAATAGTGATTATTTTATTATCTTTCTTATCGAAAGTCCCTGTTTATTTCTGTTATTTTGTATGTTTTTTAACCCCTGTTTGTACCACTATGTTTTTTATCCGAACTCCTGTCTACTTTTTTTATTACTAGGCTTTTAATTCCTAATTGCACCAAAAGGTTGATTTTCTCAGCAGTCATGATCCTACTACGTTTTTCATCCAATCTTCCTATCTATTTTGTTAATATTACATTTCAATCCCTATTTACAACCTTATTAATTTTACCTCTGACGGGAAATAGTTCTCGAACTTTCTCATCCACTTGCTGTGAATACACGGATGCACGGCCTAGTTGATGACTTCGTCGAAAGGAAAATTTTCTTCGCTGCAACCGTCTTTTTAATACTAATTGACATTATGAGTTACTCCGAATATAGTTAACCAATATGAGCGTTCTTACATGATGCTTGTGAATAGTCTTAAGTGATCTTTGTAACAAGATTCTTAGTTGAGTAGGCGTTACATTAAAATTAAGATGAAGTGCAAAACTATTGTCTTCATTTCGAAAACCACGAGTGTTCACTAAAATCTAAATCTTCTCTGCTTAATAAAACTATCAACGAGCTATATGAGTCAGTATCAGCTAACTTGATTGAAAGTATGTGAAACAGCTAACATTTATGTTAGTTCAATACTTTCATATGCAACTAATGAAAATTTTCATGAAGAATAGTTCGCGTCAAGTGTAAGGCTAACTGATCTTCACTCTTAGTAATTTTGTTCTGTTTTTAACATAAAGTGCTCTATGACGACCATTTGTTTTTCCGGCCTTAAATGTTGGTTGATTCCTGTTGTCTGACAAACATTAAAACCTACTGTCTATTAAATCTTTGAACCTGGTAGCACCTCGATTAATTTCGATCCTTAGTTGGGTTGTAGTTATGGACTGCAGCCTAGAGCTACTTGGTTTATAATAATTTTCCAACTTACCTTGGTTCATGGCGAAATCTACGTTGATATTATTTATCACCTTTATCCCAGTAGGTGGTCAAAAGTTAATAGATGCGACAATATCAGTTTGACGTTTACATGTTATAAATAATGACAGTTTCAATAAAGAATATGCCTATATAATTGTTTACAGTAAAAATGAACGGTGGACCATAAGAATACTTCTTTTGATTATGTCGCTTTCCAGGTGGGATATGGGGCTTCAAGAGTGAGCTTATGAGCTTTTAGCAGTTGGTCATTTGACGTGCCTGGTTTGCCAGTCTCAGTCCCTCTTTTTCTGACTCACTACCTTCTAAGTAAGGTCTAGGAGTGCATAGGCTTGGAAAAAGAACCTAAAGCAAGTGCACGGTTGACGAATGTTCTACCTCTGAGCCACCGACACGTGAATACTGTAGAAAACAAAACCGTTACTTAAACTGGATTTCAGCACACGCGAACATTAATTCTCTGTCGAAATATTATGCTTCAATGATTCTGAAGACTACAATTTCAATTAGTTGAAAATACGCATTAAAAGTTTAAAAGACTGACTGATAGACAAATAGTATTCTTTTTGAAAAACTCGTCATCACTCTCTACATTTATATGACCATCATATTTAATGAAGTATTGGTATTAACAACATTAATGTCTTAAATTACATTGAATCACTGGTATCTACAGATAACATTTCGGAAGACATCAATAATACAACATTAGATTGAATGTCAGATAAATTAAAAGAAGTAACACAGAATTTATGAATTTATAAGTTCCACAGCACACTGAGGTAGCAATAGTGACCGGAGCTGTTTATTTTGCTCTCAGAGCTCAGGTTGTTTAAAGCAAATTGAAATGGCCACTACTGTTTGGAATGTTTGGTATCTCGAGGCCTTTGGTAATGTATTTGATACCCGATAGACGATAGAGCTAACTAACTTTGTGGCCTGTTTAGATGAGGGGATCCAATATAGAAGTGTTGACGATTTTAACTACACCTTTATTTAGCCACACTGTTAGGTGTTCCCGAACACGAAAATTAGCTTCCTAGGGAAATGGCCAATATAACTAGCTCCACAGGAGCAGTTGAATTAATAGATATAATTAGAGTTCGCTATCCTAGGTACTTTATCGTTTACTTTCGGAATCACAACAGGTTGTATGGAAAGTATAAGCGTTCTTTGACTCAACTTGTTGGTTATAATTTCGTCCCACGATATATCACCTTTGAATTGTATTCATATATATATAGAGGCTTCTTGTTAACAAATATAGAAGAATTCTTTTCTAGTTTCTTGGTTGTGTATTTAATGATGAACTTTCCAAGGTAGGTGTTCTTGATTAACGTGACAAAAGCAACCTTAAGTTCGTCTTCAATCTCATCTTTTGAACAAATAGATCTGACTCTACAGTTGAGGGTCTTTACCAAATCTCTTTTATAGTAGAGAGGAACAAAGCTGTGAAAATGTGTATATTGACCGGTCCGAGTACCTTCTTTTACTTTAATTCCTTTTTATGTTACCATCTCGTCCTTCTGTCAGTAGAAAGTCTAAAAAGGCAATTTTACAGCTGTACTTATGCGTCGGTGGCACAGCGGTAGAATGCTCGCCAACCACGCATGTGGTCCGGGGTTCGATCCTCGGCCAACGCACTTCTAAACCTCACTAAGCCAGTAATAACTCTGATAAAGAGGGAAGGTTGGGCATGAGGCTAGCAACCCCATCCCATAAAAATAAACACCACTGCGTCTAGCTTGAAGTTCTATGTTCCACTGGGGAATGTAAAGGAATAAAAAAGTCGTACTGGGTGCTTTTATATATTGATAACAACAATCTACTAGACTGGATTTAAAGTGCTCTACTTCCAGGCTGAAGGATGGAACTAGATCCCTTGTCTTGCTACAGAGGTTTTTGAGTTCAATGTCTATCTATACGGTTGATTCGTTTGACTCTATAACAAAATCTTAAGCCAAGGAAAAGTACCTCAAAAATTGTTTTTTATTTAATTCAATAATGAAGCTTTTCCTGAGATAGAAGTCATCCAGAGACGCCGCACAAGGTATATTTTCTAAAGTCTTTGTACACCTAAACTGTTGTTGTTTCTTAAATACAAGTCTATACAATATAATATAAATGCATTCATTTATGTTATAATGGATTGAATTTGTTCAATTAATAGAATTATGATTACATTCATGCATATTTAAAGCTATTTTAAAAAACACTATATTAAATGAATTCTACAGTAACCGTGTAGCCATGCTTATGTGATCCATTGAAAACAGAAAGGTCAATAATTATTCAACAAAATACCAATAAAATACAATATCAGTAGAAATATGTAGCCGTGAACTCTTCAAGTTAATGTAACTTTCACATAGACCCCGACTTTAAGTTACTAAGCAACATAGTTTATTCTATAGAATCTACAGTCATGGCAACAAATAACTAGGTCGAAAATGCAACTTCTTTTAAAACAGAATTATAAATTAAAACCTATGAAATACATTCAAACAATTTGATTTATTTAAAGTATAAGCTAATATTAAATTTATCGCATGAGATTAACAAACTTAGCTTTTCTTATTTTATAAGAGAACCATTGTATTATGTGCTAATGATAAGAATAATGTAAGAAGTATGCAATGCGATGTCTTGTAGAAAGAGTCATATAAGTAGACTAGTGACTGAAGAATCTTTAATCAACGGAAATTGAAGGAATCAATTATCGTCATAGAAAGTATGAAAATGACGAGGCGAAATAAAAATGCAACAATGGAACACTGATACCATTTTAATTTGTTTGTTTATTAGATATGTCACACAGTGAAACAGTATTTTATACTAGACAACGTTTCAAATACAATCCGTTGTTTTACTGTATGACAAATCCAGTAAGCTATCACAGTGCCTAAGTTGTACACAGATATTAATGTGACTTATGGCTTTAGGAGGATCATTGGAAAACATGGGAGTACTGGACAGCTCTTCAGCGGTACACACCCGTAAGGGCTCGAACCCAGGACCTTCCAGTTACAAGACGGGCTGGTAGACAGCTCAGCCACTGGGGCCAGATCCCATGAATTCTAGCTTCAGCCAACTATATATATATAACACGTGGTCCACCAAGTCAGCTGGCAGGGCAGTTACTCGTTATGACATTAGCTGGAATTTGCGCTAGATATATGCGGCGAATTAGCTGAAACTGGAATTCATGGCCCTTTGGGTCAGGCCCCAGTGGCTGAGAGGTCTACGATCTTGTCTTGTAACCGGTAGCTCTTGGGTTCAAGCCCTGGTGGGTGAGTGCCGCTGAAGAGGGCCAAACTAGGACAAGACAGCTTTCTAATACTCCCAGGTTTTCCAATGATTCTCTAAATAATGTCAGCTCGTGATCAAAACTGTGACTAATCAACTACCTGCAAACTAACACTTGATAACTTATGGTTGTACCATTTGAAGACTGGTCAATAAACCCACAAAACGTTAGCAAACTGATGCAAGATTATCAAATCATCGTATTTTCAATATTCGATGCATGGACATTGAAATTGTTTCAGGATACAAATAGTTTGTTTCGATTGGACTAGTGTACAACTGTTCATCAGTTCCCACAGTATCGTTTTTCATACTCCAACTGTTACCACTGAATAATCCCTTTGTTTATGCATTTTTATATAAAGCGTGTTTGACGTTATGATCTATAACGTCTTGAAAGCGGTAATCAGGAATATGAATGATCCCGTCCTATTTTTGATCATAGCTGTGGTAAATTTTCTCTTCAACTAGAGAACAAAGACTGACAATTATATCACACAGTGCACGCAGTATACGGATAGAATATGTTCTTCTGAAAAAAAGAGCTTTTTGAGAACTAAAACTCACTTAACGCTTACTTTGTTCAATTTCCTAGTCTCAACAATAATTTAAATTTCACTAAACTATTAGGAACATGAAACTGCTCATAGTGTTCCGTAGGAAGTGACTACAAACAATTCAAAAGCTGAGACGTTTGTCTACTGATGAGGAGATACTGAAAGGACATCGAGAAACATATGTAAAAGCAATGAAATCTGTTATAATAAGATGAAATAGCTTTCGAAAAGATCAGACTTCTAAGGGTGAAGTAATCTGGCAGAAGTGTCGTTAACCCATGAAATTTCTTTCCACTATTATTATGTATATGTGAACACACGAGTATTAATAAGGAAGTCTGGTTCCACAAACAGATGTGTGGACTTATGCAAAACATTCACAATTAAAACTTTCACAGATAATTCATGAAATGAAGAACAAAAATATAGATATGATGGAGAAGGTATGCAGGTCAGCTGGATGATTTTGGCGTATTTGTGTTCTCTGAGCTGGAAGTTTTAGTTGTGAAGCTTTCATTATCTTACTAGACAAAATCTTCGGCGTATACTTCAAACTTCTCATTGGTGACTTGTCCTTACAACAGTAATTTCATACAAGGAACTCTAAATTTATACTTCATTAGCGACGAAGTTCTTAAGTTTTTCACCTCTCCTTCTTCTTCCTTACAATGAATATATCAGCAATCGCGTTCACTGATCCTACTACATGGAAACTCGATCGCTCCTATGGATCTGTCACTATTCCGTAAACTTGATGTTTTAAGCATCTTCGTTTTAGTATTATTGAAATGTAAATGTAGGTCTATCTGAATCAACACCATGTCTTAACTTTTTCTCATTCCTTTGTGTTCCCAGTGGAACATAAGATTTCTAGCTTCAGCTTAAAAGTTTCAGTGGCTGTGATGATTTTCACGGGGGTTGGGTTGCCACTTAACAGACTTCCTACCATCTGAGAGAGGTTTCAGGAATACATGAGCTGGGAATTGAATCCTGACCAAGTGAGTGTTTGTCACCAACATCTTGACTGTAGGCGTAAATACACCCATTATTCAATCCTTCAAGTCGATCTGAAGACCCAACAACACAAGTAATAAGATGACAGGAATTCATATTTTGTACACTCGAATTATACAGCAGAAAAAATAAAATTTTAACATCTCAGATATGTTGTGTGTATAAGTTCACGGATTTTGGCAGCTTATGTAACCTGTAAAACTGAACGCCACAAGCAGATTAACCTATTTTATTTCATATTTATTTGATGTTAATCTTTCTTTTTACTGTTGTCACCTTTTAACACATAGTTCTTAATGCAGAGTCGAAAACAGACGCATTGTGCAACAATGAATCGTCTAGTTCAGAAATAAACTTAAGTACAAACGGTTCTCATGATAACATTAAATCGCTTCCTGTCGCGAATACTTCTTTTAAAAGTAATTAATAGTTAGCTTCATTTAGTTGTCAAACGGTTTCTTTTTTAGTTTGTTTTCTGTCTAAACGTTCTCTCTGTTAAATCGTTTGTTTCGTTTTTTAGTTAAGTTACACATTTGTTCAATTCATGTAACTTTTTCTTTTGCAAAATATCATACTGATCATTTTATTTGTGCATATATTAGCTTCATAGGTTAGATTTATCCTACTCTGTATGTTTATTTGCAGTCATCTGCGTATAACTGATGCAGCCGTGTCCTATTGGTCTAGGCGCTCAACTTCTAACCACGAGTTCGAACCTCGCTCCACCAACCGATGTTTAGGCAGCCGGGTTATAACACGAAACCCTCATGCTATAGGTGTAGCTCATTGATAACTTCAAGGAATTGCAAGTGGTTGTTGAGTAACATTTGCTTGCTGCATGACTGACTTCGTAAACCAACCACGGTAGAAATAAATTACAGTATTCAACCAGTTCCAGCTATCACACTGGGTGTAAACAGAAAATGGTGTTCAAGTGTTGGTTTGTAGGGATTTGTTTGGTTACAGGATTTCATCATGAGCTGACATTAGTTAGAGAACCATTGAAAAACCAGCTGGGAGTACTGGACAACTGTTTCGTCCTAGTTTGGGACTCTTCAGCAAAATGGTGTGTATTACAAGAAGGTCAGACAAAAGGCAGGAAAAAGACAAAGATTACTTTGAAATAGGGTAGAGCGCTTATAGGAACTTTAATTAGATCTCAGTAATACTAACCATTTTGTACAAACTTAATGCTTAGTAGGTAGGACAGTAGCTAATATTTTAGTGATTAACTATGCCGTCAATTCACCTTGATCCTATTCCGACTAATATTGAGTTCAACTGCAAATGAATTTGGTGGAATCCAAGATGTACACTTCGTCCCAATCGGGACTCGTCATCCGGATTTACTTGCATTCCAATTGACTGATGGTGTTCCCTCTGAGACTCAGACATTGCATCCATCATTTCAGGCATCAAAGCGTTATCGACTAGGCTACGATAGTCACTTCAGGCATCAGTTATGTTTTCTTTCCGGGTTAATTTTACATTTCTCGTGGACTGATCATGTTGGTCTCTGTTGACACGCTAACTCCTCACACGGAAGCTCCGAATATGTCTAAAGGTTTAACACGATGTAACTTCGTGGATGTTGACTAACAGTGGAATCCAAGATGATAATTTCGTCCCAAATTCGGACTCGTCATCTGGATGTACTTACATTTCTGTTCAACGTAATCAATCAGCTTGATACCATAAATGGTAACCAAGAAAGCACAATTATATTTACATAAAACTGCGTACTAATTACTGATCGGGATGATGAGTAGGTTTAGAGAAACTGTGGTGGAAATTTGACCTTTCAAACTATGTACATTGCAAACTGATAACTAATTTAAAAATTGTGAATTTAATTTATAGTTTCATCAGTTAGCCTAAGTAGCCAGCTAGAAATCAAGTGTGATCTAAACTAATTCGGCTGTCTCAGCTGAGACAACCCGGATCCGCCGCTGATTTGCTCGTCCTCAAACGAGAAAAACGCCAGTCTGGTTAGCAAGCACTACTGGTTGATGATATGAATGGCAGACAACTACTTATCTTAGTCAATCAGTAGTACATAGATGTAATGCAAATATGCTTGCTTTCTTGATTACTATTTATGGTATCAGGTTAGAAATTATCTAAATAATTTGCCATATCTAGTTGATAATAGAACTAGGAATTGATTGCAGTAACAACTTATCAGAATTTCACTGGACGAATTGTGCCTTTGAGCTACATGCACATATGAATGTTTATATATATTATTCCATTGTGTTCCGAGTGGAACATAGTGCTTCAACAACACATCTCCACTTTGTTCTACTTTGTGCTGTCCTATTCAGCTGGGCCCACGATCTCCTATAATCGCTCATCTCCTTCTCCTCCTTACCACACTATCTTCTCCATGTCATGCTCACACAAACGACTTACTCATCCCTTCCGAGTGAGATTCTGCTCAAGCGATGGCCCACATTGCGATCTATGTCATTCGACGGTCTTCTCAACGTATGCTCGACCCATCTGCATTTTCTCCTACGTATTTGCTGAGCAATAAGCTCATGGTTTGTTTTGTTGCCATAGTTTCAAATGACACTGAAATAGAAACCAAGTTGGAAATTAAATACCTACGCGTCATTCTATCTGCTGATCTTTCCTGGTCGTCTGACATTGTGTTGATTTCTAAGAAAATATTCCGTCTTACCTTCTACATCAAGAAATTAAAACATTCTGGTATAACCAAAACCTTACTCCTACAATTCATTAACTCTCGCCTTCTGCCTATTATTCTCTTTTGCTCCCCCTTAGTTTTTCCCGGGCTACTGAAGAAAGACTATAACATATTACTCAGGATGTTAAAGGTTGTAAGCTGGGTAAGCAACGTGCCACTAACCAGCTTGTTAATATTCTGGTCGACAGGTACATGGACTCATGTGAAAAATGGGCAAAGTCCATTTTATCTAACTCACACCACCCTATTCACTCACAACTCTCCCCCTGCATCTCACCAGATAAAACCAGAAGACTATATAGAAAACTATATGCTCACACCAGCAAGTACAAAAACTCAACCATACCCTACTTATCTCGTGTTCTGTGGGATAAAGAAGCATTAGGCGTGACACCTATAACTTATTAAATAGTCAGTAGTACAACTGGACCTCGTCTTCCCAACTCATATCATTTATAGGTACAACATTCTCTTTCTTTCTTTTCCTTTTCTATCTCTCTCTTTTCTTTTCCGTTATGTGCTACTTTGTTTCTTTCTTCCGCTTACGCCAGTAAATATGACAGCACCTACTTTTCTAACACCTTCAAACACTGTTCAGCTTTACCTCTGCTACCGACATGCCAATGTGTTGTTGTAATAATGAACTGTGATTTCCTTAATCTATGTCGAATTCTATTTATTGATAATGTACTAACTGGATGCAATACTGTAGTAAAAATGCTGAAAATTCCATTCTGTATCACGAGTACTGTTTTGGAGTAAAGCAAATTATTATTATTATTATTAAAAAATGTTTGACCAACTTATTTGATATCCTACAGAAATATATGTTGAAAGTAGTTTTATCCATAAATTTTGATTTACTATATTCCACTATTTTCCCATTGTTTCTACCCTTTTACTGCAGCAGCATACTTAATGGGAGATAATCAAATGCAAAGTAAAATGAAGTTGGAAGTAGATCCGATTCGAACAAGTGCACTATCACAAGAGGAAACAAATGCGTTTGTCGATTCACTCAGTGAAAATCTGAGTAAAGATGAACTAATCAGAAGGTTGTTTTATTGATAAAACTTTTTTCCTATCACTATTATTATTATTATTACTAATCAATTATTGCTATATATCCATCATTTTAATATGATTTTCTGCATAACCACAAGATTTTATTAGTTGAAGTGAAATGAAAATAAGTTTCGGCATTCATTAAAATACCAACAAGGTGAAAGAATAATCAGCCAAGTGAACCCATGGAGAAGACAGAGGTGATGAAGACACGCAGACAATAACAACAACAACCAGCACCAGTCAACATCAGCATGAGAAATCTGAAGCACGTTGTTTTTTAAACTTACCTAAACAGCACTGTTTCGACCACTAGCTGTACAGGTAAGGTCGGGAAAAGTAGACAGACTGGTGCCTATTGTTCTGAAATCAGTTTGAAAATGTACCGCATTCAGCACAACTAAAAAATTTCTTCTAATTTTTTTCAAGTATTGGTTTTGTATGGTATGGATTTTGTTTGATTGGTTGGAGGATTTCATTATGATGAGCTGACATCTGTGTAAGAGATTTCTCAAAAGTGTGTAGTTTCCAGTCAGTTCTTCTATGTGCTTCAGAGACTTTCTGTGCATTTGAACAAGACCATTTCGGGCAGGGGATACTGCATACCCCTTCATCAGCAACTAACTATCTTGGCTCAATCCTGAAAATCAGATGATCAGACAGAAAGGAGAAGCAACAAGGAACTCTGGCATTGAACTAGCAAACAAAATTTTGTTCAGTATTGGTTCTGTAGGGATTTTCTTTGATTGCATGGAGGATTTCATCATGAGCTGACATCAGTTAGAGAACCATTGGAAAACCAACTGGGAGTACTGGACAGCTGTTTCGTCCTAGTTTGATATTCTCAGCAGTATGCACCCGCCGGGGTTCGAACCCAGAACCTTCTGGTTACAAGGCTAGCTTGCAGACCACTGAGCCACTGGCCGATGAATTCTAACTTCTGCCAATTCACAGCATAGCACGACCATTTCGCAATGTCTTCTTTGGTGAGTTACTGACTCCTCTTCAACCTGCTGTACTAGTAGGGTACAGTAGGTTGAAGATGAGGCAGCTCATGATGAAATCCTCCATGCAATCAAAAAAACCTTTACAAAGCCAATACTTGAAAATTAATCTGACGCTCACTAGCGACTGGCACTATTCAGGCAGTTAACCTGGGGTTCTTGTGTGAAGCCGTGACCAGTAGGGCACAGAAGGTTGAAGGTGAAGACAGTTACTCATCGAAGATGACATAGCGAAATGGTCGTGCTATGTTGCGAATTTGCAGAATTTAGAATTCATGGGCTGGCCATTGGATTGGGTCCGAGTTGCTCAATGGTCTACGAGCCAGCACGCCTTGTAACCAGAAGGTCCTGGGTTCGAATTCTAGCGGTGTGTGCGTGCTGATGAAGAGTCTCAAACTAGGACAAAACAGCTGTCCAGTACTCTCAGGTTTTCCAATGGTTCGATAACTGATGTCAACTTATGATGAAATCCTCCATGCAATCAAAATTTTGTCCAACAAATTATTATTCCCTTGAGTTCCTAGTGGAATATAGGGCTTCAACAACACATTTCCACTTTGCCCTATCGTCTTCCTTCAACTTCAGCTTTGACCACTAATTTCAGAGGTTATGAAGATACCCGAACAATAACAACAAGCTTCAGTTAACATCAATATGAGAAACCTAAAGGAAGTTGTTTCTTCTGCTTGTCCAACAAATACCGTTATTTTAATTGAATTTTAGATTTTCCTGCCGATTGATTGGACCGAAGTGCTCGGTCTCAGGTTGACATATCGGCTTCTTGTGCAGATGCTTCGGTGATGTCTGGGTATTTAATTAGAATTAAATTGGTGGATGGTGACTAACAGTGGAATCCAGTATGCACATTTCGTCCTATTTGGGACTCGTCACTGGATGTACCTGCATTCTCCAGTGAGTGATGATGTTCCCACCGAGGATCGAACCCAGTGCCCATAGTTTCAAACCCCAGCCAAAGTTTTATCCACTAGACCACTTGGGCCACACGAGCCCCCTCTCGTGCAATGGGTAAGATTAATTATTTAATTGAATTTTAGATTTTCCCGTCGATTGATTGGACCGAAGTGCTCAGTCTGAGGTTAACATGGGCGCTGGATTCGAGCCTCGGCGGGAACATCGTCACTCACTGGAAAATGCAGGTACATCCAGATGGTGAGTCCCGAATCGGACGAAATGCACATCCTAGATTCCACTGCTAGTCACCATACACCAATTAAATACCATTATTGTATTATTATTATTGTTCCCTTGGGTTCCAAGTGGAACATAGGGCTTCAACAATAGAAATAGACTGGACATACCTGAGAAGCGTGTTGAGTTACATCTCCCGCCAGATCGTTAAGTGGAATTCGAGTGGTGTGTATGACGACTTTGGCATCCGTAGATGACATGGAGGAGATCATGTGAAAAAGCTGAAATGAAAGCTTGTGGACAGTCGTAGATTCAGATGAAAGTGAATACAGGGAAGAGAGTGCAACAGTGATATATTACTGATGTCTAAGGGACAAATAACAATATAAAAGTTTGAAAAATGTCACTTTATGAGACGCTGGATCCTAAATTCATATCTAAATAGTGATATGTTTACCTCTAATCTCGGTTATCCCGGATGAGATATCTGACATCATATTCATAAGCACCCACTGACTGGTGGAACTATTCACAAATTATTTCCTTTTTCTGCATGTTTCCTTGTAAAAACTATAAATTCAGTAGAGTGTACTGAGAATGCAACAATACCACTAAAATATTTCATTGGAAAGATAACCCAAACCAGACTATTTAATATGGCCAAATAAGCCTGAGTAAATATCTATATTCTGTGCAGACTGTCTTCCTTAGTTATTGTCTGCTCTATTGCTGTATCGTCGTCATAAGTACTTGTATTTTAAAGTCATTGAGTAACTAACATTCATTTGTATGCAACTAAGAAGAGTTTTATGATAAAACTAACGTTTGGAAATTGCTTTTTTCCCATCCCATGCTTTCTAAATAGATTATATGACTTCAAGGAATGTAAACAGTTTCTTTAGCAGTATTATTTCTTTTACTAGGTGGAGTTGCTAGCTTCACACCTAACCCCAGCTAGATGAGGGGTTTATGAGTGCGTCAGCCGGAAGATGAAACTATATCTCTCACGTGATTGACAAGCATTCTGACATTCGGTAACTGATACAATAAATTGTATAAACTTATGGCACACCCATATATAAGCCATAGAAATGAGCGCAAAGGTTAATTCATCATTTACCGGCAATCATCTTTGGATTTATGAAGATTGTCTACGTTGAAACTCAACATTATCCTTCATTGTTGAACAAGTTGCATAAATATGGTAGGACGTAATATTTACGAAGGTTTAGTAGTGTTAGATAGCTTTCATACATCTGAATCAACAGCGCTAACAAATGTCTTGAGAAAGACACTTTATTGACGGCTTAGTTTTCAGTCATTCAATCAAACTTTTTGTGTTATGCCAGTTGAATGTCACCTATAGTGCTATGCTTTATATATATATATATATATATATATATATATATATATTCGTGTAGTCAATGTGTTGTTTTAAAAACTAAGTTTAACCTTATGAACAAATATTCGTCTTTTAGTCAAACACCATTAAGTAAAAATTAAACAGATAATCAATCACTACTGTGATTTAATGGGAACTCGAACTACCAGCATCTTTAAAACATACTCCTACTCGTCATACAAGCGTTCTGTAGTGACATAGCTATGCTACGTTTATTTCTATGAGAAATGATGTGACCTTTGACATTGTAACTTCTTGCCCTGATACGGCCATATAGATATTTGATTGTAATTCACCAGCAAACGCTTTTTTACTACTAGTATAAACTTTCGAGAAATACTTGATAGTAATGTATACTTCTGAAAGGTCCTGAACCGGGTCACCTAACAACCGTTAATTGATTCTTGAGTTTCAGTGACTCTTCAACCATTTTCAGTTCTTCAGGAGTCACTCAATTGTCTGATTACTAGCTGTAATAACACTTCTACAAGTCAGCATGCTTTTCGACTGCCGTAAAATTAAACCTATGCATTGAATTATATAATGCACTCATGAATTTTCAGTATTATTTATAATTTCATTAAAACATAACTGATATTTTTCTATTAATTCACTTTATTAATGTAAGTATAGAACATGAGCACTGTGGTAGAATGTAATTTCATATCAAATAAGTTTGTTGCTGATCTAGTATGCCTAAAACTAATAACCCTATAAGAATGTATGTCACTATTAAAATTCATAAAACAGGATATCATAATAGTCGAATAGTTGACTTTAGAAACACCCTGATATATGAGTTATCTAAACAGTTAGCATCAGTATTATACCCAATTAGAGATAGGTCTGGTTCTAGGCTAACTAATTCTTACGTAATGAGACAGAAGCTAGGAGAAATTCAATTAGAAAAAGATGAAAAAATGATTAGTTTTGACACAACCAATTTGTAAGCTAATGCTGCGATCAATAAAGCTCTGGGGGCAGTTAGGAATGAATTGCACATTGGTCCTGAACTCAAAAACAAGGCTGAGCTGACGGCTGATGAAATAATATTAGATATTCAATCACGTCTAACCTCCAATGCATTCAAATTTAAGAATAAAATATGCTAGTAAACGAATGGGGTGACAATGGGATCATCAGTATCCTCAATAGTAGCAGACATATTTATGGATTGTTGGGAAAATAAGGCTCTTAGAACGTTTAATCCTGATCTTAGGTTATGGTGGAGATATGTGAATGACGCATTCACTGTGTTGAAATCGGAACATATCCCTCAGTTTTCAACACAGGTAAACTCAATAATAGATAGAATCCAATTCAATTCTGGGCTAGAAGACAAACAAAGTGAGTTGGCCATTCTAGACTGTAAAATAAAGGGAAACCAGATAGTGGGTTAAGCACTAGCAGTTATAGAAAAACGGCACACTCTTATAAATGCTAATATTTAATTTCACCCCTTCGAGAATCGGTGAAAATGGGTTTCATTAGATGTCTATATAATCAGGCCAAGAGCTTAACTAGTAAGCCAGAAAATTTAAATAGTGAAATCAAACAAATAAAGAAAGTATTACAAGTAAACAGCTACTCACCAGAATTTATTCAAAAACACATGAAGAACCATAGAAAAACTAAGATTATCAATAAAAATGACAAAAACCATATAGAATTCAAAGTGTTTATAGTACTGTCGTATGAAGATGGAACGTCAGAGGCCTAACGCAGGATTTTCGATGAGGGTGGCATTTAAGCCAACCAACCAGCCAACTCTCACAGAAATAAAGTTTGTCGGCTTAAGGATCTAGTAGTTTCAGTTAAGAAAAATAATATAATTTACCAAATACCATGTAATGACTGTTAGTGAGGTCAATTGCATAGGTCAAAGAAGCAGATCGGGGCCAACTAGATTACTAAAACATAAAAAAATTTCAGCTACACCTAGAATAACTGACCCTGTTAAGTTAAATAACCTAGAAAAAGCTCAGCCAGTGCACTGCATTCACTTGCATGTAATCACGAAATAGAGTGGAGGGGACAGTGTGAGAGTATTTATTAACAAGTAATATAGTTTGGTGGAGATAGAGACAGGGTAATCACTAAAGATTTGTTTATCGATTCAACACCAGACGCGAGCAGTCTAAATGAGAGCAATGCCTATACCGGAGATATGGAAAGTGGCAACAAAAACAACCAAAAGAAGTTGGAGAGATAGAAAAAGAGAAAAAATATATATGAGACAAAGTGTGAAACCGTGTGACTAAATCGATATGATTATGAGCTATAATTTATTTTTTCTAATAATAATAATCTACTTTATTCCAAAAACAGTACTTATAATACAGAATGGAATTCTCAGTATTTGTCACAATATCGCATCTGATTTACGAAAACTATAAATAAAATTAAAAATTAATCGGAGGAGTTTGTCCGCATTTACGACATAAAGTCAAAAATATTTGAAGCGTAAATTGAGATTATTAAATATAATAATAATAATAATAACAGTGAGTTCGTTTCAAACGGTATTGTCGATTCAGTTTGGAAAATTTAGCGTGTCATAGATTATTGGGTCTAATGTTCTGTTGATATAGTATGGTGAGGGGAAATACAAAATTAAAAGTTATAACACAGCTTAAATGATGTTTACACTTATGAGAAAATAAACAAATAAAAACAAAAAATTGCAAGGATTATAAATATAAGAAAAGCAAAAACAATAAAGGTTGATGTTGTAAGGGTGGAGAAAATGCTTTGTTTAGTAGTGCAAAGAAGGTTAGTTGGTTCTTGCCTAACACTATTTTCACCACACAAAGTACATGCCCGATATGGTATAGTGGAATTTTTATACTTAGACGTACGTGCATAAGGTCTTCTGAAAAGACTTCTTGTTTTACTTGAGGAAACACAAGGCTGGAGCTGCGGGTAGAGTGGGTGCTCATAGTCTGCCAAAATTCCTTTAGCAAATTTGTTGCATGACATCAAGTGGCTGGTTATCAGTGACAATGTCAACGATATGGCCCAATGGGATACCACTCGTCCTACTGACAGTCTTCAGAGTTCTACGAAGTATGACATAGTCCTTTTTAAGCAATCCAGGAAAGAATAAGGGTGAACAGTAAAGAAGAATATGTAAGATGCACGAGTTGATAAACTGTATGAGGAGTGGTTGAGTTATGCCTGGATGCCTTAACTTCTTAATGTAAAAAGTCAGACGAAATATTCTTTTAGAACTCGCTAAGACATGGGAGGACCAAGATAGGTCATGAAAGAGAATTAATATATGCTTGAATCATCATCCTGTTGTTCACACTGCATCACTGTGTGATTATTAAAATAAACTTATCTAATATGCAATTCATTTAATTTATGATTAATTAACAGACTAAAATTACTAGAAGGCAATTTTGTTGGTGGTGAACAAGCCGGGAACAAAGAAGTTCGTGAGAAGATAACACGACGTAGACGATATGCTGAAGAAAGAAGGCGTCGATTAGCCGAGGCCAATGCAGACTTAGAAGATGACGGGATAATGATTAATATATATGAAAGTATACAAGATGAATTGCATTATAAAAGCAAAGCATTGCAAAGACAAAAACAAAAGGTAATAGTTCATTCTTTTTGATTGGTTGTTTGTCTGTTTCTTTGTTTACAGTGATGAAAAGTGTTCACAGTCGAAATCATAAAGTTTCAAAATAGGTTAGAAGAATTCTTAATAGTTTGATAAAACATTTTTGAGTATTGGTTTTGTAGGGATTTTGTTTGATTGCATGGAGGATTTCATCATGAGCTGACATCAGTTAGAGAACCACTGGAAAACCTGGGAGTACTGGACGGCTGTTTCGTTCTAGTTTGGGACTCTTCATCAGAAGGTCCTGGGTTCGAACCCCTGTGGGTGCGTGCTGATGAAGGATCCCAAACTAGTGGAACGCAACTGCTGTCCAGTACTCCCAGTTTGTTTTCCAGTGGTTCTCTAACTGATGTCAGCTCATGATGAAATCCCCTATCCAAAACATTTTTGGTTTTACTGACGTGCACATTATTTGATAACGCGTAAGAAGGAAAACGAAGAAAAGATATCAAATATTACTGAAATTCTCGAGAAAAATAACTATCCAGAGAACTTCATTACCAAAATCAACACCAACATAAAACATGGTCGAAGAAGTATTCCGAAGATGTGAACCTCAACAATTATGATTCCATATAGATCAGAAAGGTCAGACGATATCAGAAGAGTACTCAGTAAACACAACATCAGAGTTTTCTTCAAAACACTGAACACGCTACGAAGCAATCTTGTCCATGTAAGAGATCGAATTCCGAAGGATTCGAAATTCTGTTGTATCTACAAAATAAAGTGCTTGGAATGTGATGCAATATATATCCGATAGACCTCGCAAGAAATCAAGATCAGAAGAAATGAACACCGTAGACCATCTATTCGACCACCGAGAAATCTAGTGGAACTAGAAAAGCTTGAAATATCATCAGCCATAGGTCTACACGCTATAGAATCAGGCCACAAAAATTGACTTTGACAATATTGAAATCAGCCAGGAAAATTTCAGAAATCACAACAAATGGAGTCTAAATTGTCTGAATAAGAATGACAGACTAAGAGAGACTTTGACCGGGTTCCAACACCGTGTCTCCCATCATGAGGTGACGGAATCACACAAATGTGATGAGCGATTTCATTATGTAAACACATCCTCTTTAATTTTATACAATTATCGAATCCAACAACCTACACACGGTTTGTTATCATTACGAATCCCACCACCTGACAACTTAAAAACTATCCCATACTGAAGAAAGATGATTACGTTGCTGTATATAAGTTGATAAATTAATAAATGAGTTATGGAAGACAATGGTTACTTGACAGTAAAGTTATAGTTATATAATTCCCCGCTAAGTTGTGTCCACTGGTAGAAGTTGTTAACTGGTTACTGAAAAGTCTTTGGACGAGGACGAGATATTTCTATAAGTTCCAAGGAATACAGCATGAGGATTAGCACAGTAAGTAGACCGTAGAAACCAGTGAGCAGACGAAGCGAGAGACTGTACGACCGTATTTTCATTAAAACGTGAAAGTTATATATTGAACAAAGATGTGGAATGAAACCAAAGTTATGTATAATACGTCAATTTTTAGCATTTAGCATAAACTGTAGGAATTTATTATTAAGGACTCCACATACCTTATGAACTGCTGACTGATACAGACGATATTACGGTAGAAACCTTTATACAAACACAGGATTAAGTAGCATAACTGGAAAGGGATAAAAGTCGTTGTTAAGCTCATTAGTATTTATAGAAATAATTAAGAAATATTCTAGAATTACGAACGAATGTTACAAATTGAAGAGAGGCGTAAAATCGACAATTCACTTGTTGTAAGGTCAAACAATTTAGTTGGACAGAGGTCAAAAAGGGTTAGGTCAAGAATATAGATAAAGACAAGAACCAGCCGACGTATAACGACGCCATTTTATCCTGCTCAACGTGTTCTTCTTGCTTTCTTCAAGTTTATCAAAGGAAACAATAACTGCATGAAACGGGTAGTTAACGGCTAATTGAATCTGTTGATATAGGATGGTTGAAGGCAATCTGCAGGAAACCTTGGACCTAGGTTTCGTACTAGTTGGCACTCACCAGTCAGCAAGACGTATCTGCAACCTTGGGGGAACTCATGTCTCTTCTGAGATTCGAATCCGCATCACCCAGTGAGTACTGTAGTCAGATACGCCTTGCTGAAGAGTACCAACTAGCACGAAACCTAGGTCAGGCAAGGCTTCCTGCCAATTACCTCCAAACATCTAATATCGACAATTCAAAGTGCACTGTGACGGCGCTCCATATAGAATCGTGGCCGCACTGCAAACTTGACTGATAGAATTCAAAAACTTCATACAATTCTTCCCATTAATAAACTTGAACAAAGCAAGAACAACAATTGTACCAGGATAATATGAGCTCATCTTTTATTATTTCGAGGATTCTTCTCAACTGGTTACAACCTGAACGATAAAAAATATGAATTACATTACATTAAAGATTTGAACACAATTTTCCACGATCACAAGGAGTAATTGGTAGGAAGTAAAAGTAACATTAGTTCGGAATGATTTAACTAATTAAGAGTTACAAACACTGACTATTTATAGAATAATTCAAATGAACTGTGATCAATATTTGACAGTTTATAAATATTTATAGAATAATTACTCATTTAGGCTTGGAAACAAAAACAAGATATTGTTGTCACCACGGCAGTGCAAGATTCACCACTGTCTCCTTCTGCGTACATAAATTTGGTTTAAGTCGTCTGATAGCAATTGCTTCAGCAAAGCGTAGCAAGTTAGGTTACTTTTGTTTGTTGATTATTTTGAATGACTTCAAGTTGTCTACATTATGACCAGTGTCTAATAGATGACGCGCATTTGCACTGTTTAATACTTGTGGACCTTTCAGTCTCAGGTTCTTTGGTATGTGTTCAAAAATGCGGACAATAACCCTTCTCTCTGTTCTTCCGATGTATGTGCTTTGGCACGTATATGTAAATTGGTAGACACAGTTGGAGGTAACATGAGGTGGGTATTTGTCCACTTTTGATTGTCTCAAACAACTAGTTGTTTGATAAACACATACAAGCTTGGTGGCTGGATATGTTCTTTTCAGAGCAGCGTTCAGTCTGCATCGTATTCTACTGGCAGTATCATCACCTTTGAATGCAAGCTGCAGAAAGATAGGCTTTTTCTCTACTGTGCTGCTTTTCGCTTTTTCAACATGACGTCTCCCATACTTGTCAATGAACTTTTGTGGGTAACCATTGTCGCGTAGGCATTTCTCCACAATGGATAGCTCTTCCTTAATCTTTTCTTCTGAACACAGCTTACTTACACGATCAAATAATGTTCTCACCAATCCTTTTTTGTAACTTATAGGGCAGAAACTTTTGAAGTTAAGATAAACCGCCCTCCAGTCTGAAGCAAACAAAAGACTGGACACACTACACTAGTCACTGACTAGTCTCCAATTTAAAACTCTAATTCTGTACCTTCTCATATCGTCAATTTAAAAATAACCAAAACTGTAACACAAAACCTAACAGTTTACACCTGCAGGCTTTTTGTCTTTCCCTTTATTTTTTATGAAAGTGTACTCATGTCAGTTTTCGAGTATTTCGTTTTTAAACATATGTATAATATTTCATTTCTCCCTTGACAAACAGGTTTATGCATTACAAATGGAAATTAAAGATATCCAATCAGAATTTGAACAAGATCGAAGTGATTATCTAGAAACTATACGTCGTCAACAGAATCAAATAAATTTGCTTAACATGATCTTGGATAAAGTTCAACCATGCATACGCAGAGATAGTAATTATCATAATATAGATAAGATTAAACGAACAGCCAAGTAAGCAAATGATTATGTTAGAAAGAAGTAAGGTAAAATAATATAAACCTTTAAAATTCTTTGGTGTGAACTTAACATCACAAGAGGACTGATAATAAGGATTCTAGAAGGTCTGGATTTTGCGGATGATTTACGTTTAATGTCACACAAACTCCAAGACTTACAGGCGAAAAGCAACAAACTCGCTGAAGAAGCAGATAGCGAAGATGGGACTCTTGTATCTTCTTCTTCTTCAAAAAGACACTTCAAACTCAGTTATTAATGGTTATACAGCTGAAAAGGCATGGGGTTCATACTATTGGGGTCTGCAGTAGGATATCTGTAATGATTACCTTGAGGAAAAAAGGATGTGATAAAATCCCGTCGAACTGGTTAAGCCCTATCATCACCAATGTTCACAGAAGCAAAAAAATTCTATGACTCAACTGTAAGCAAATTAATCAAATTGGTGCATACTTTGAAATTCTGGAACGGATGCTTGTAAGACTGTTGGCTAGTGATAAGAAATGACAGACTCAGAAAACTAAGTCTATTTTCGAAATGAATTGATAGCGCTCTGAGGTTAAATTTTACTAACTGCCAAATCTTTGAGCTTAAGTGAACAAGTAGCCTACCGACCTTTCGATGATTGACGCTTAATCTGATGACTACCAGAGTGTAGAAATTTGACTAATCCAATAATAAATGGTAAGAAGAATGTATATCAGAAGTAATCTTTATCATTTTGTAGTCGTTTACATGAATTGAAGTTCTCTTGCATCCCGAAAAACTTTCATTACGATAAGAAGTAGGGAATTACAACCTAACAGGTGGTTTACATTTTCACTCACTTGAACTGTAAGGTAGCAAGTTACTGTGTATATATTGAACGCTTTACTCCTAAGCGTGTGGTCGTTTGTTCTCTGAGGGGATTATTTTCTAGTAGCAACTCAAAGAGAAAATATGAGACTTACATCTAGACGGCGTTCTAACCAATCTATAGAATCCGATTATCTTATTTCTTTCAGTAGAAGCTTTAAATTCTATTTAATACAACCGATTAAATACAATTCGGTAACAAAATGCTATTTCAAACTCACAAAAACATTAGTTGTTTGAGGCATGAATACTTTTCCTTGTATATTCAGATGAACTACATTAGTGAGAAAGTGCCCCGGTGATTGAAATAGACAAGAATAGCACGTATAAAAAAGTACACTATCACATACGCTCATTAAGCATACACAATACCTCTAGTTATTTAAAACAAGTATATGGTACTTCAAAATATTTAGAAAAAAATGGTGATGGATCGGGCACACGCTTAGGCGACCGCCAAATGATATCGTGCACAATGCAGACCATCGTTGCAGTGGAATCCCAATGGGAAACGACGAGTGAGTCGTCAGTACGAGGGTGACATGGAGGAGATTGTATGGGCGAGGGGAAAGAGTTTATGGTCAATCGTTACCCAGCTGAAGAGGACAGTAGAGAATAGAACAAAGTGGAGATGTGTTGTTGAAGCCCTATTTTCCCCTCAGACACCAAGTGAATAATGTAATAATAATAGTATGTTACTTCATAGACAGATGTAGTTTGGGAAGGGTATATCGGACTAAAGACAGATAGATAGGTTGCACAACTTGTATTAAACAGTGGTAAGTTTCGTTCATTTATAATAATAACATTCAATCCTTACGACTTCAGCAGCAAATCTCCATTGCAACTCAGTTCTCCTTGGTCACTTTTAGCTAACTCCACGATTGCCTACAACTTTTCATCTCCTGCTTACACGATCTCCCTCATGTCACCCTCGGAAGTCCAACCCATATCACTTCCCACTCAGGTTCCTCTAGAGGGCCTAGCACGCGGTGTCACTTGGTGGTCTCCACAGAGTATGTCCAATTCATCTCACTCTCCTCCCACATATTTGTTGAATGATAGCTTATTGATTGGTTCACTGCCAGAGTTCCTTGTTGTTTATCTTTCCTTTTCGACGTGATATCCGGCTGTCAACCAAAGGGCGTGTGTACTTCTCAACAGTTCGCTCTGTCCTCCTTTATGACTGTGAGTTAGAAATGGACATTGAAAGTGGAAGATACTAAAAGGTTAGCTGTCTTTGACCATAGGTGTCTGCATTCTATCTCCCGTGTTAAGTGGTATAATAAAGTGAGCAATATTGAGGTTAGGCTTCGGTCGAGTGCTAGGTAAGGAGGGGAAATCAATCGACGAGGTTGTGAGGTTACACCGATTGAGATGGTTAGGACATGTGTTACGCATGCCTAGCCATCGCTTTCCTCGATGAGCAATGCTAGCTGACATAGGATGGATCAGGTTGGAAAAGAACCAGTGGTGGCCAAACGAAAGCATGGCTTCATCAGCCAATGAAATCCACAACAGTTAGTTTAAGCCAGCCAGTCACGTAGGGAGGTGTAGAATTCCTGGTTGGGGTCCTCGGGACGATAAAAACCAGTAGCTGGAGACAATCGGTGATATGGCTCAAAATCATTCTCAATGGCTGGCACAGATGCATCTACTCCTAGTGAATTGGCATGCCCAATAAAAATCTACTATCCCTCCATATTACTATTCTTTTTGCCTCATATTTCTGTTTATTATCTCTCTTTTGCATTTCTCTTTACTCTCTTCTCTTGCTTTGTGTGCTACATGGGGTGTGGCAAGTAGAACTGCTGCCCATCTGTGCAGCCATCTGATCTTCAGTATCGAACGAAGGCATCTGTTCATGAAAGTCTACAGTAGCATGTTAGAAATGCTTTTCTTGACCTCTGCACCAATTCTCCGAACCAGTGACTTCACATTAGTGTTCAAAATTCGGATCTTGTTCTTTATGCTAAGTGTAATAGGGATCTCTACACCGACTCCAGAGTAATGAACGCCTGTCTTGCCTTGATATCCTCATCCACGGATCTGCATTGTTAAGCGCTACTTTACGTTTTTTTTTGTTTTTTTACCACCCTGTTTAACAAAATGCAAATAGATTTGATTTGGAGAAAAATGAATGGATATTACCGCCAATGTCTATTGAACGCTTACAACTGCCACTAACAAATACCGATAATTCATCCAATCAGTCAAATTCAACTCATGAATATATAAATGATAATATGGAGCAAAGTATTTCTGCTAGAGATTTAGAATGGAGAAGTAAAGAAGATTCTAGGTTGTATGCTAAACTAGCTAGCCGGACATTATCTCAAAATAATTATTTTGCCAATCGACGAGCAAATCAAATTCTACTTAATACAGGTAATTTATGTGTATTATGTTAATTTATGTATATGTATATAAGTCGAAATTGTAAGTGTTGGACTGACAGTGATTGCTATAACCAACGTTGTAGCATTTAAAATAATAGGTGTTGGATTAAAATACTGAGAATACCACACAGTATCGAAAATATTGTTTGGAATAAAGCCATATCAGTAGACACACCAACATTCATTTCAATATAATGCAGAAGATTTGTAGTTCAGGTGGTTGGTTCTGGTGTAGTTATGTTCCCTGAGCTGGATGGTTTAGTTGAGAAGCATTTGATTGCCTTACTACACAACTTCCTCAGAGCACACTTCACTTTGAAGTAAGCTTTTCGGAAGTCTCCATGAGTTTACCAGTCACCTCGCCTGGTAACTCTGAACATGATTTTTTGTTACCAGGTTACCAGGAGAGGTGAATCATAAACTCGTGGAGACTTCCAAAAAGTTTACTTCAAATTGAAATGTGCACTAAGGATGTCGTCTAGTAAGACAATGAAATGCTTCGCAGCTAAACCAACCAGGTAAGAGAACACATCTACACCAAAAATGTATTTCATTGCCATGCACTTAAATGCATCTGGTGTTTTGATAGACAATTATACATTCTGTAACTTGTGAGACTCAATCATGCGCGAAATAGTTGATAAATGTTAATCATTGCGTCGGTGGCATAGCGGTTAGGACTCTCGCCGACCATGCACATGGTCCGGGGATCGATCCCCGGCCGGCGCACTCCTCTACCTCGCTAAGCCAGAACTAAAGCTGGTGAAGAGGAAAGGTTAGGCATTAGGCTAGCAACCCCATCCTATAAAAATAATCACCACTGCTACAGAAACTTCAAGCCTCTAGCTTGAAGCCCTATGTTCCACTGGGAACGTGAAGGAATAAAAAAAATTGTGGATGCTTAAGTCTAAACATTAACTGAAGTCTGTCCACCATTGACATATTTCCTGTGGTAATTGAAATTCCCAAGTGTATTTTTCTTTTAAATGAGGCAGAAGAGAATCTTACTCTCTTTAGAAAGGTGTCCGCTGAAATGTTTCATACTACCAATAACATACCGACTCCCCCCCCCCGGGGGTTTCGCGAAAACGATAGTACCTTGACATGACGATGAAAAACTTCTTGGATTTGTTTGCCTCTCGATCTATGGTTTCTTCAAAACAAACAAACTGGTACATCGGTACTAAAACTGGAAGTAACATAGTTTCCATCCTTTTACTGAAAAGTGAGATATATATGCTGATTCAACATCTTCAACTCTATGAAAATCATAAAACAGATATATTGGACAAAAAATGTGTAAATCATTGATCTTGATACCAGCTGCTACACCCCATGTACAACAGTCACACTTCACCACCTGTCATCTCGTGAAGTGTGCTGCATATACACTTGTCGAAGAACTTGTCAAGCATCTAGACTTCATGATGTTAGTATTTCACTAGAAATTAGAGCTGAAGTTATACCGCCCAAGCGAACTATCCACGAGGCGCTATTTTCGTGTGTTTACGCCAATAGTTTAGCCATCATTTGGAAGTAACTGGTAGGACGAACCATCATTCTGTGATAATTACTATTTTTCCTACAAATTATGGCTTAGATATATCTGATGGGAAATTCTATTACAATGTTAGTAAATCATGCATCTAAGTTCATCTGATAATCGTTTGGACGATAGACACAGACTAGTTGATGACAGCTATAACAGTGATATCTTTTGGCAACTGGTACAAATTCCTAAACAATAGCATTTAATCAAGCTCTAGGTGATGTTCCGCCCGGTGATCTTTCTTCATCAGTCATTCTTGAACTGAAGCTCACCATATGTCAAGTAATTGTTGACGAACTGACGGTGCATATTTGTTACCCGACAATAGGCTTTTCAACCTTAAATCCACTGACTGTAACCACCAAAACTCATGTGTTATGGTTTGAAAGCAGGAAACCGCTCTTTGCATCCTACTATATAGATGACCAGAACTTCCTTGAGTTACGTGCAGTAGAAAAACGCCTCGACGACAATAAAAAGACGGTTATTTGCTATAAAATTTGTGGTACTATTCAACAACATAAAAACTTTATACATTTGGTTCCCTTGATAAATTTCGATAAAGAAAGGAAGACGAAATTTGCAGTATAAAATGATATCATCATTCTATTTCACAGGTTCTCATCAGCTGCAGACTACCTGAAATTACAATGGTTATATAGATGATAATAACATACTTTAATGTTTGAGTGGTAGTAGAGAAGAGATACAATAAAATTAACGCATCCAAAATGAAAGCATTACAATTTTTAGTTTAAGCTTCCATCATCAATTTATAAGCTTTCAAAGTTGAAAAGAGAGGGGGAGAGGTAAGACAGAAAACAGAAAAATTAATCAACAGAACAGTGTTAGCTTGTAGGTTCACATAGCAACTCAGAAAACAAAAACGGTTACAGTTTATGAGATTAAGATTTGTTCAGTGAGTTGAGATCACTGAATTAGATGACTAATTAATGTAATCAAAATCAAAATTCAGTTACCAAGGGAATGAGAGGTTAATCACACTCTCTTTCTGTATGCATAAGTTTGGTTTAAATCGTTTGATTGCGATCGCTTCGGCAAATCATGGTAAATTTGCCGCCCTTTGTCTATTTAACATTTTGAAGGACTTAGAAATCTCTACGAGATGTCAGGTATCGACAATATGTCTGGTAATTGCACTCTGAGAATATTTGCTTCCTTTCAGGCACAGGTTTCTCGGAATAGATTCAGAAAAATAGATAGAAGTCCTTCTTTCCGTCCTTCCAATGTACTTGCTCTCGCAAGTGCACGTAAATTCATAAACGCAGTTGGAGGTGACATCAGTAGGGTATTTATCCAGTTTTGAGTGGCTTATAGAAGAAGTGGTGCTGTATAATGTTATGAGTAATGCTTTCATTTTGGATGCGTCACTTTTATAGTATCTCTTCTCTACTACCACTCAAACATTAAAGTATGTTATTATCATCTATATATAACCATTGTAATTTCAGGTAGTCTGCAGTTAGCTGATGAGAACCTGTGAAATAGAATGATGATATCATTTTATACTGCAAATTTCGTCTTCCTTTCTTTATCGAAATAACATTAAAAACTAAAAAATTACAACAACAATGCAGTTAGGCAGCTATTCAGATCAGATAATTTTCCAGTACAAAACAAGTATTGTAGAACAAAATTAGTTAACCAGAAAACAACCGTTAGAAGTATCTGAGAATCGAGAATACTTCCAATAAGGTGAGATCAAAACTCTGTCAGAAAGAATCCAACCCGCCGAACACTTTCCGCAGACAGTCCACGGTCAGGATTCACTCAAATCTCAGTCGTAAAACAACACATTATCAATATCATCTCCGCACAACCACAAACAGAACCATTAAAATTACAGAATACACAGAAACAAAGACAAATAATAAGGTCAAGTCAACAGATTATAAGCAAACATCAGAACAATGATACACAATCTAAGAGCGAAGAAAGGATAACAATTACAAAGCTTCATAAATTTGGTTCCCTTGATACATTTCGATAGAGAAAGAAATACCAGATTTGCAGTTTAAAATGATATCATCACTCTATTTCACAGGTTCTTATCACATAAGTGAAAACTACCTTAAATTACAATGGTTATAGGTAAGGACATTTCATACTTCAATATTTGAAAGGTAATAGAGTAAACATTATAAGATGAAGACTTCCGGAATATAAGTATTACAATTTTCAGTTTAAGTCACCATCGTCAAGTGTAGACCCGATAAAGGCTCTGGAGTTGTTATAATCAATAAAACTGATTGTGTACATAAAATTTTGACAATTCTTAACGATCTCGAAGAATTTCAGGTGGACAAAACTAAGAAGGATGCAATAACGTCATTTGAAAATAAAGTAAATGAATGCCTCAAAGAACTCCTCATCAAGAAACTGATTGACAACAAAACTTACAACGAACTCAGGTCAAAAGGTGGACGCCTTCCATTTATGTACAGTCTACCAAAAATCCATAAGGCCAGTGTGCCCTTAAGACCCATGTTATCAATGATAAACTCACCAGGCCACAAACTAGCTCGATGGCTAACTGATTCATTGAAGCCAATTCAACAGAAATTTGCTAATCATAGCTTAGATGACAACTTCCAATTTTCTAATGAATTCGACCATGTTGATATATCAAATAAACCAATGGTGTTATACGACGTGACTGCCTTATTTACAAATTTACCAGTGATGGAAACAATAGACATCATTTGTAAACAAACAGATTTATTGCTATTACCGGAAACAGAGATGAAGCGCCTACTAATTCTTTGCACAAAAGACATCAAATTCAAATTCAACAACCAATTCTACAGACAGATTGATAGGGTCGCCATGGGTTCACCTCTAGGACCTATTCGAGACGATATCTTCATGGGTTATCTCGAACAGACGCGACTGAGTAATGCTATCAATGAAACAACATACTATTGTCGATATGTTGATGATACGTTTGTTGTTTGTTACGACATGAGTCAGGTATCCGTGTTATTTGCCCGCCTTAATGAGACCCACCCAAACATTAGATTCACCATGAAATATGAACACAACGACGAGTTCAATTTCCTGGACCTAAGTGTAAGAAGAAGAAACGATGGAACGGTTGAAAAGTTCATCTACAATAAAGAAACCTGGACTGGATAATACCTTCACTACAACAGCTTTTGCCCTATAAGCTATAAGCGGAGGTTAGTAAGGACACTACGACAGAGACAGGAAGTCATGTTCGCCTAACAAGGTAGAATAAGAATTAGGCTTTGCTGAAAAATGCCTTAGGGAAAACAGGTATCCGAATGGATTTATCCTAAAGTACAGCAAAAAAAGAGATGAAAAAGTGAAGTAACCAACAGTCGAAAAGAAGGTGTTCATTTGCCTCCCATTCAAAGGAGAAGCAGTATCACAAAAGATTGACAAGATGATGAAAGGAGTAATAAAAACATGCTTCCCTGCAGCCAATCTGGTGACACTGTACAGCACTACACACTCTATAAGCCAATCGAAACTGGATAAATACCCTGCTGATGTTACCTCCAAATGCATTTATAAATTTACGTGCACCTGTGGCAGTAAGTACATTGGAAGGACAGGAAGAAGGTCTTTTATCCGGTTTTCAGAGCATATTCCAAGAAACTTATGTGTAGAAGGAAGCAGATATTTACAAAGGGCAATTACCAGAAACCTTGTGGATACCGGGCATTTCGTCGAGATTTCCAAATCCTTCAAAATAATAAACATACAAAGGACAGCGAATTTACTACGATTTGCTGAAGCGATTGCAATCAAACGTTTCAGACCAAACTTATGCACACAGAAAGAGGGTGTAGTGAATCTCTCACTCCCTTGGTAACCGTATCACTTTCATTACACTGATTAGTCATACACAGTAGTGAGCTCAACTCACTAACCAAACTTTCAGTTTGATGAACTTTAACCTTCTTAAGTTGCTATGTAGACGTACAAGCTAACACTGTTTATTAGATTTTTCTGTTTTCTGTCTTCTCTCATCAATCCCCTTTTTTCGAAGTTTGATAGCGTATAAATTGATGGTGACTTCAACTAAAAATTGTAATACTCAAATTCCGGATGCGTTCATCTTATAATGTTTTCTCTATTACCTTCCAAACATTAAAGCCTGAAATGTCCTTATTTATAACCATTGTAATTTCATGTCGTTTGCAGCAGCTGATGAGAACCTGTGAAATAGGATGATGATATCATTTTATACTGCAAATCTGGTCTTTCTGACTCTCTCGAAATTACAAAGTTAGTTGGGATGCCTAAAATAAGTACCAGTGTGGTAAATAAGTCGTTCAGAAGGGATTTTTCAAATGGTTATTCCGTTAAACCGACATTATGTACAAATTATTTAAATCATGCAGAATAAATTGCGATTGAAAATGTGGCATACCCTTTGAATACTTTTATCAGTTCCACATGTGTACGTATTGACTTTTACCATAAGAAATAGTCGACAGCTTTACATGTCTCAGTTGCCATGTGAATGTAAACAAGTGATTTAAGAAGATATCAGAAACAGATCACTGTTTTTCAACTCTAAAAACATATTTATCTTCTTGACTGACTGACTGACTGGACTCAACAAAGAACTTTGCACAGAAGTGCAGCACTTAAAGCTGCTACACTCCATGTAGCACACAAAGGAAGACAAAAGAGAGAAGTGTGAGGGAGAAAGAATAGTAACATGGAAGAACAATAGGGTTTAAGGGGTGTAAGAGATCACAAAGGCTGAATGCATCTGCACCATCGACAACGTTTTCGAGCTATATCACTGACTCCCTCCAGCAAGTGGTTCTTAGAATCCCAAGGACCCCAACCAGTCAGGCAGTTTACACCTCCCTAGGTGTCACAAACCAACTGCCAAAGATTTCATTAACTGACTCCAGATTTTGGTTCGACCATCACCACTAGCTCTTTTTCAGCTTAATCCTCTGTCCGTTAATATTCCCCGTTGAGGAAGGCGATGACTGGGAATGCGTAACACATGCCCTAGCTATTTAAATCGATGTAGCTCCACAAACTCATCGACTGACTTATCTTTCTTACCTAACACTCGACGCTATGTTCAATATTACTCACCCTGTTATGCCACCTAACACGGGCGATAGAAGGCAGACACCTGTGGTCTTACAGCCATAAAGCAAGACAGTGACAACTGGTGTACCGCACACACGTCGTTTAATGGATAGTAGGATATCATTTCTGAGAGAGAGATGGCATAAGTTAGCGTATGCTAAACCAGCCTTCTGTATCCATGCTGAGATTTTGACACCAATCATTCCGTTGGGGCCGATGCAGCTTCCCAAATAAGTGAAGTGGTCAACACACTCTACCACTTCACTCCTGTCTATCTTCAAGGTAGGAATGAGTCAATATAGTCCAGTCCTGTAGCATCATCTTACATTTGGCGGGAGCGAATCGCATGTCAAACATTCGCAGATTGCAGCTCAAGGTGTTCAGAAGACTTTGCATGCTTCTTCTTAGGAATATAAGTTATTGTTGACTGTTCGACTTTTTATGATATCTGCTGTCTTTACCATTCGTTAAAGTTTGATATATTTTGTCATAAACTAGTGCCAAAGTAGATACTTGTTTTGATTTAAAGCAAATCATATTGTACAAATTTATATGAACTCAATATGTATCTTCAGAAAGTCTACGTTCGCTTTTTATTCTTCAGCTACAAGAGGATCAGAATTCAAAAGGTATGGATATGCTAACTATAACAACATGACCAGCTCAGGAAATTCTTCCTATGAACTAATTACTGGTAATCCTGAATTAGCATCACTTTCATCTTGTGAAACTGAACAGAATATGAACCCGTATATCAATTCTTCAGACACTATCAGAAAACCAGGTAAATTAAATCCAATGTCTGAAGTTCCCTTCAATCCGAGTAATAACTATGGACAAACGCGCCAATCACATAATCGTATGCAAAAATGAAGTATCATTCAGAGATACTTATTGACGAGCATCAATCAGGACACTTGACGAAAAAGGTACTCAGGTTGTGAATTATTCAAGTCACAATCAATCTCTGCCTTGTGAATTTTACACTACAAAATTACAAATATCATATTACTTCTATGTAATAATTATGCCCAAATATACATATTACATCAGTAAAGTCTTATGTCTTGTGAAACAAATTTTTTAGAAAACAGAAAGATTGAGCGAAGAAATATTTACTTTTCAATTAGATCCTCATTTCTGGCTCTACTCTAATATACACGTATAGCATTTTTATTACAATACACAACAGTTTACCAAACAAGTGGCACTGATATGTTTGTTAACAATAATTAAACAGTGTCGAAATGTCAATGGGTTGATAATTAACGAAGAAAATCAATACACACATTTAAAAGGTAGAAATGGTTAGAATAAATTAATTTTACAAGAATAACACGTAACTAAAGATGAAGTGGTCAAAATAAATAAAAATAAAATAATTTGGACAATTATAATTTTTATAGTTTTTAGAGGTTTAGAGGGTGGGGGGTGGCGTAGTCCTGTTCATGCATTCTTCTAGAGATAGCCACGATAAGGAAAGTGGCTGTACAAATTTCTTCTGAACACATAGGCTTGGCTTCTTAAGGTGGATTCCGATTGCTTCAGCTGTCTGTAGAAGACGAACTCGTAGAGCAAAATTAAGATTAGTCGGAATGCGATAAATAATTTTAAATGCAGTATTCACATCAACCTTATACTCACTATCTACAAGGTGTGCTAAAATAGAACTACGAATAGATCTTGTTTGTCCCTTGCTTAACCATGTTGGATGATGTTCGGAAATACGATGATGAACCTGCCTAATTGTACGCCCAATGTAGCTGGCTCCGCAGCTCCAGTCAAACTGGTAGATACACATAGAAGAGGCAAATTTAGGTAGTTTATCCTTATTTCTCGAACGTAGAACACGGGTGGTTGTGACGAGACGACGTACCTCTGCTGCATAGTAAGCTCTTTTAACTGCATTCTTCAGGTGCTGTGTTATGATTTCGCTGATGTTGTGTCCGAGGAACTGCAATTTTATGAACATTGGTTTCTTCGGAAATGTAGCCATACTGACTGTCCTTGGTGCTGAATTCATATTTTTCTCAGTGAATTTATCTGGATAACCATTTTTCTAAGTAATTCTCTAATAATCTTAAGCTCCTCATTGAGGCAGTCGTCTGAACAGATTAACTTAGCTCTATGAACCAGACACTTACCAGGTTACGTTTATATTTCCAAAGTACAAAACTCAAAAAATGAGTGTACTGACCAGTTGTTGTAGGTCTTCTATACACACTCCTTCTTAGTGTGCCATCTTCTTTCCTTGCCATGAAGACGTCTAGGAATGAGATACTATCATTACTTTCTTTCTCTATGGTAAAGTTTATTGCTGAATGTGCATCATTAAACTTGTCAAGGATGTTCATTGCATCATTCTCGTCTTTTATAACCAAAAATGTATCATCCATATATCGACAGTAGAAATCCATGTCATTAATTACTCCTTTCAGTGGTCCATTCTCTAATTTAGCGGGGAAAAATCAGCTAGGATTGAACCTAATGGGGAACCCATAGCTACACCATCAGTTTGTCTGTAATATTCCTTATTGAATAAGAAATGAACATTCATTGTACATCTTAAAATAAGTTCCTTCATGGTGGATATAGAAATCCTGATGTCTATGTTTCGTGTAGTAATCTCCTCACATATTAAATCCACTGTCTCCATTAACGGTGCATTGGTGAACAAGGAGGATACATCAAAACATATCATACATAAACTTGTCCCTCACATTAAGATCTCTTATTTTTTCAACAAATTCAAAACTGCCGTTTACGCTATGTTTTAACTAATTCATTATGCAGAGGCTTTAGCAGCTTCACTAGCCATTTTGCTGTTGCGTGATATGGGGAATTACACATGTCCAACACTGGTCGAAGCGGCAAACCGATTTTATGCACTTTTGGTAGTCCATATAAATTTAAATTTTTCATTGTTTTCACTACTAAAAGACCATATTAATTTACTGTGTTAGATATATCACACTGTTTAATGGATGATGAAGTTTCGAACACAGTTTATTACTGTTCATAATCCTATCAATTATGACTACACAGCTTCGAAACTTTCAATTTATGGTGCTCCTTATTCCTTCCTATTCATCGGGGTAGTAGAATTTTCCAGATGTCAGGGAGGACTGGTGTTGAATCATTCCTACTACAAGTATTTTCAGTTGATTCGATAAATAAAACTTCCGATATCAATCTCTCCCTCCACCATGTTATATTAGATCTTAGAACTGTCATCTTATTCCATCCCATTAGGTGGCTGAGTGTAATTGCATGTAGTGAGTGGTATAGCTGAACTACCCTCCAGATTTCTTATCTTATTCGGGTTAACTAATCTAGATTTTGCTAGCTTTTATGCTCCGCTAGTCTGACTGACTGACCCTGTTCTACTACTTCGATCTATGCATTTGACCTGACAGTCATTGCGGGATACTAGGTAAACTAAATTGTTTTGTTTGATAGGCTCCACAGGATCATTTAACGGACAATGCTTGCTTCTAATTGAATTTGTGTGTTTCACTGCTACTTTTATTCCTGCTTTGTTCAGAATTCCACATAAGCTTTTCAAGGTTCCTTCTTTGTATGGAAGTACTACTGATGATTCATCATGCTGTGAAGTCAGTGCTGCTATACGGATGGATCAGAGACTTGGCGCGTCATAAAGAGCATTTCCAACAAACTACAGACCTTCATTAACAGCTGTCTTCGCTCAATACTCAAGATCAGATGGCCGGCCAGAAAAGATCAGCAACAGAGATCTCTGGTAATGAGCGAACCAACCAGGAACCGATTGTGTAACAAATATGGAGGAAGAAATGGAGATGGATTGGCCATACTCTGAGGAAACCATCAAGTGACATCACTAGACAAGCCATTGCTTGAGTGGAACCCGAAAGGGAAGCGGCGAATTGGTCGTCTAAGGGTGACTTGGAGGAGGTCATGTGAAGAGGAGATGAAAACGTGTGGGCAGGCTTGGAGCCAGGTGAAGACTCTAGCAGAGAACCGAACGCAATGGAGATGCACGGCTGAAGCCCTATGTTCCTCTAGGAATTAAAGGAAACAATAATAATAATAACAGTACGGATGATTTAAATTCCCCTCTTTGTTCTGTGCGTGTTTGTCATGCATGTTGACATTGCTATTATTAATTTTATTGTTACATTTTCTTACATACAAACTGATTAACGAACTCGTAGAGCAAAATTAAGATTAGTAGGAATGCGATAGATAATTTTAAATGCAGTATTAACATCAACCTTATGCGCAGTATCTACAAGGTGTATTTTTCTTAATCAATCAATCATCATATAGGTGGTTAAAGTATTTGATATGCGTACTGCAGTATGCCTAAAGGATACTAGTTCCCAAAGTTGTCTTTGTACCAGCTTTATGAATTCAACTTATAAAGTATTGATGTGGAAAATTAATTCCTCTATTGGTAAAACTTAATAGTTACCCTGATAAATTAATCAGTTTGTATGTAAGAAAATGTAACAATAAAATTAATAATAGCAATGTCAACATGCATGACAAACACGCACAGAACAAAGAGGGGAATTTAAATCATCCGTACTGTTATTATTATTATTGTTTCCTTTAATTCCTAGAGGAACATAGGGCTTCAGCCGTGCATCTCCATTGCGTTCGGTTCTCTGCTAGAGTCTTCACCTGGCTCCAAGCCTGCCCACACGTTTTCATCTCCTCTTCACATGACCTCCTCCAAGTCACCCTTAGACGACCAATTCGCCGCTTCCCTTTCGGGTTCCACTCAAGCAATGGCTTGTCTAGTGATGTCACTTGATGGTTTCCTCAGAGTATGGCCAATCCATCTCCATTTCTTCCTCCATATTTGTTACACAATCGGTTCCTGGTTGGTTCGCTCATTACCAGAGATCTCTGTTGCTGATCTTTTCTGGCCGGCCATCTGATCTTGAGTATTGAGCGAAGACAGCTGTTAATGAAGGTCTGTAGTTTGTTGGAAATGCTCTTTATGACTTCACATTGGAGTTGAAAATCCGGATCTTATTTTTGATGCTGAGTGTTGTTGACCTCCATGGTTCACATTAATAATGAAATGTAATGCATGACAATTACTCAGTTATATAAAACAAAAGTACATACTAATGATCAATCATAGTTTTAAATAGGTCAAGTAGTCCATGGTAGGAGAAGGTTGAAGTCTGCTGTTTGTTTTGTACACATAGTTTAGGATGTGTGTGATCAATCCAAAGTGCTTCCATCACATTTAATGACCGACCTTGAATTAGAGTTATGCGATGAAATAACTGTGAAGCAGTCATTAATATTGATTTTGTGACCTGACATTAATAAGTGCTTTGCAATAGATAATGATGGATTTCTATTCAGACTTATAACTGCATTGGGATTTTCTGTGTTTTAATAAACATTTTGGAATATGTTCTTTTCGACGACATTGGAATATTCTGTTAGTTCTATCTATGTAGGTGTCACCACAACTGCAGGTGAACTCGTCGATGCAGTTTGAAGTAGAGTCCACAGAATTTTGTCCATTAATCATAGGTACAGCGGTCGAGAAAGGTTCGGCACGTGAGGAAAAGACATGCGGAGTATAATGGGCGATTGTAAAGAAACTACGAAATGATGCCGTCATCTCGCGAAATTTGTCTTCGAAATGCCTTATTCAGATCAATCAAAGGGATTAATTGTTTTAATAAATAACTATGTTTGTTTTTTGACAACGCATCACCACTACTCTCTTACCAGACTCCAGCCCCCCACCCCACCCTAGTTACAGTTTGATTATTCATCACACTTTTGAAATGTCTTGACAACAATAATTGAAAGCCGTAGTATCTGCATAAGTGGTGTACGGATAAACAATTTCGATATACACA